AGCTCACAGTCCATTGTGCATGTTTTATGGTTTATATCTGCATATTCATGTGTTCTATTCTATGTTCTTTGGATAAACACATACTGTACACATTGGAATGATTTGTAGTCATTTAATGCTGACCAAGTATTAGAAATAAAACAAAGTCGACTTTTTCGCTGTGTAGATTTTATTTTTATGTGTACATGACAAACATCAAAAACAACAAACATGTTTATTTGTTTACATCTAATTCATTAGTAGCTAATTAATCCAATGATCTCATCCCACCATTTCATGGATGAAAACAAGGCACACCTCCACAACCTCAGACCTGGTAAAAAAGTGCCTCCTGACCTCAGATCTAAATGTACTTTCCCCTGCCTGTAACCCACTTAACCTCATCATATAACTTTATACACACAATGGAATACTCTAACAGTGTCTAGAAAATCTGGTGATGCCAGAGGAGGAGAAGTTTCTCAACAAAGTGACAACACATTTTTAGCCATAGTGAGGCCAGACACTCCAGTAGCTCCCTAATATGCTCTTATCTGGAATAGTGGGCAACTTCAAACTGTGTTCTTATTTCCATTAGTTAGCTCTATGTTACAGCAGCACCAGTGCTTCCGTGAAACACATTAGCACACAGGGAGTAGGGATCGGTGTGGCTGTGTCAGAGCCAGTTTGTTAATCACAGTCAATAAACCTTTCCTAAACCATTTTGAAATGCTTTCCCATGTTTGTTGGGTATTATAGACTCCAGCTCGTCTATACATCTGAATAACTGGAATCATTTTTTTATTGCTTAATGAAGGCAAATTATACAGCACATGTAGAAGTGGGGTGGACTGGCAGCACTTTCGAGGACTGTGTTTTATATACGGAGCTGTTGCGGGCTGTTTCGTGGGAGGAACATCTGCTATTTTTGTACTCAGAAAAGACAACTTTTTAGATCGCTAGGTTACCCTTCATACCAAAGTTCTAAGAAAATGGATTTTCAGAATCCTATACCATAATTATTTCTTGCTGATACATGGAATGTTGTAATGAATCAATATCCTTTAGTCCAGTTTAAAAGCACTAAACATTGTCTGACTGAAAAGGCATTGCAATGCAATATACTTTACAACACATTTTGATATTTAATAATTCATTTTAAGGTGTAAGTCTGTTAATGGTCTGAATAGACTCAAGGTCTGTTTGAGCTTTTGGTTCTAAGTGGAACACAGCTCAGCTTCTTTTTTCAGGACTTAAGGATTCTTCTTGAATCAACACTTTCAAATGAAATGTTTCCTTTCACTGATGTTCTTTTAACTGTTTCCTTAAGGTGATAAATAACCTTTGAAAACAGTATACATCAGATATAATAACCTGTCCTCATAATGCAAGTATAAAATCTTAAAATAAATAACAGCTTAAGTGTTTTTCAAAGCAGATTTCTTACTGGGTTTGTTAACAGCCAATAAATGCAAAAGATTCCTCTCTCACAGCTGGCTTCTACTGTTTCCCTTTCCTGCTGTGTTCCACACATCCCATTGCTCTCGATTTCAAAAAGCTTGTTTTTATTCTACTGCCTGTTATTAGACAGGGGCTAGAATTATCTAAGAGGTTGTAGAACTGTAATGCATTAAGTATCATGTAGTAGAAATAAACAAAGACCATAAACCGCAAAGCACACTTGCCTAGTGCCTGAAGACGGAAAACAATGTTTAGCCCGTCCACTGTTCTTTTGATCTCTTGCAGCTGATCACCAAGCAGTTTTCACTGAGCTGTGCCCCTTTTCAGATTCGTTTTGTATTTTCAGCATTTTGCTGTATCCATGAGCCATACGTAAAAAAAACAATTATTGTATTCATTTTACAGAAGAGACACTGCTGACAGGGTCTGGGTGGAGTTTGCATATTCTCCCTTTGTTTGCTGAGCTCCAGTGAGTTTTCTACTAAATGCTAAGGTTCACTGCCATTTTCTAAAGATAGTCTGGCCATCTTTACTGGTGTCTCTACATTGTCCCTGTGTGCGTGTGCCCTGTGATGGTCTGGCGTCCTAACCAGGACATGTTCCTGTCTTACACCCTTTGTCTTCCAGGAGAGTTTACTTGTCATCACTCCCCTTCTCAGGGTGAAGCCTCTCTTTGATTAAAGATGGTGGATTGACACTACTGATTGCAGGAGTGTTTTCAGCCTTGAATCAACATCAGCAATCAGTCATTTTCAGTTGAAATTGAAGAAAATTGTTTTATAAAAGCGCATGCTTATGCTCAAGTGTGTGAAGATAGATGACAAGTGTTAACAGTGCAGGGAATCAATACGAAAAATTGTTCTCTCCCCAAGAAAGGGCTTCGTTTACAGTACAGTAAGTGCTGTTATGTAGAGTAGTTGTGTGGGGGCTATTGTGTTCATGAGTTTATTGTCTGGAGTTGTGTGCTTCTCTGTCCCCTCAGATACAGGGTTTATTTGAGGTTTCTCTGTGTCTCCCATCCGGAGGTCTCCAAGCTCAATTAGAAGAAGGACATTTGGAGGGTTTCAGAGAGAATCATGATTCCCTTCCATCACCACCACACTCTCCATTCAAAAGCTTGTCCACAAAACAATTAACACAAAAAGTTGCTGTGCTCATTGGAAGGCTTTGTGGGATGAACAAGCAGCTGCATTTTGCCCAGCCAGGGAGGCAAGAGGAGCACAAACAAACAGCTCCACAGTCAAAACACATTCCTGCAAAGTGACTGGTTAAGGAGCAGAAATCCAGCTAAAACCGCACTACAGAATAGCACGGTCTGGACATTTACTGTGGTACAAATACAGTGACATCCTCACAGTCATGGAGACAACATGAAGCTTCATGGTAAAGAGATGACAAAATGTGGTAAAAAAGTGAGAAGTCATAGAAAAGTAAATGATTGACATGGGTATAGTAAAACAATGAACGATGCCTTATTTTGTATGGTAGCTTTTGTGACAAAAATCCTGAAGCACTTCACTGAAACAAAAGTCACATTATTAGACGACAGAGAGTACAGTTTTCAATCCCTAGAATCTACTGTATGTGGACAGTGCAGAACTAGGAATATTCCCTGAGAGAGTTGGCCTGAATCCCAGCTGGGAATGAACTGCGCCACCACAACTTTGCTCATTTACTCCAGCAAAACTTTCACAAGGAGAAAAACTGGAGAGGTTCTATAGAAAAACAACACTTGACTCAAATTCTTTTAAAACCGGAGGTGATATTATTTCAGTTGTTTCTGAGATGAGGAGGAATTCTGTAATGGCCCTTGTTATACAACACTGCGACTGGAGACAGAGCAACGTTATTCCAGTTCTTCTGGGTTTCTGGCTTGGTGTTGTTGTGCTCACGGAGCATGGGGCCCAGATAGGTGGGAAAGAAGGCGTCTGCTTCAGTGCCTTTTCGGCCTCAGCTAGAAATTCTCAAAGAATGAGATGCTAACGTGTTTATTATCTAACCCCACACACACACACACACACACATACACCCTCAATCCAAAATTATAACAAAAAAAACAGACCATCATCTAGACTCTGTAGAAACAAAACCACAGGAGCAATTATTTTCAAAACAGACTGTATTGGGGATCAGTGACCACAAAATACCAAAGTACCCTGGAGTCATTGGAAAAGCAATTTTTCATTTAAGCATAACTTCTCTGGACTCAGCAAAAAATAGTGAAAAATCGGGCATGAGATTAAGTCTTCAGCCTTCCCTGGGGGGTTATAGGTGTTGGCCCAAGCAACAGCTGCAAGAAAGGATACAACACTGATGAAAACCACTGGATTCAAACAGACAGGGAGGGGGGGCTGCTGCAAAAGTCAGTCTTTCTTTCTTTCTCCTCTTTCTTTCTAAAGCCCTCAGTCGAGCTGTGCAGCACGCAGGGGGGTGGTATTATTAAACAAGTACATCCTCTGCGACAGGGACAGGCTTGTGGGTAGAATCTCGAAGGATTATTTTTTTGGCTGCAGGATAAAAGCCTTATTGTTGACCTTTGGAGAAAAAATCTGAAAAGGGAAAGGACCCAATAGGAAGTCTGCATTCCCAAGGAGGGGAGAGAGACAGAGAAACAGGGAGGGAGAGAGAGAAAGGAGAGAGGGAGGAAGAAAAGGGGAGAGAAAAATCCTTCAGGAGAGAAAGAGCTTACAGCTTCTTAAAAGAAGGCAGGTACAAGAAGCAGGTAAGAGGCACACACTTGTCTTCCTCAGAGTAGAGCTCTTCATCCTGAGTTTACTGCAGTAAATCTGTGTAACTTGGCAGGGGAGGATTTGCGTAGTGCTCTGTGTTACTATAGAAACTTGCTGCGTTTGTACTGGTACTTTCTTCCAACGTGTTCTGGCTTTGCTTCATCTCACAGGCTGTTTTCTCCAGCTTATGTCGCTCACAGGTTTGACCTTTTCAGTCTGTAAAGATATTTACAAAGATATTTCCAGATTTCAACTTTGACTTAGTATTGATGATATTCTGTCCAATTTCAATCGATCACTTGCGGGATTGTGTTTATTGTTGGACACTGTTCTTCCCAGAAAGTCAATCATTTTAATCCCTTGTCAAATGGCAGTGGTGGTTTTCAGAAAGCTCAGAAGGTATTATGTCAACAGTGTTTGGAGTTGCATGGGAGAGTTCTGACATCAGGTGGTTTTGCACAAAGATTCTTTTTCGATCTTTGCTGGGTTCATGCTTTTAGAAATTGTATTTAAGGAAGCATACTGAGTTGGGTTGTATTTGACAAAAAAAAACTAAAACATCTTAACCAGCACATTCTGGACTTATTTAATCTTAAAAGTTGTATTATAAATAGCTAAGTGTAAATAACATTCGTTATATTTTATAAAGATACTCAAGGCTTTGTCTCAGGTACAGAGTTTGTCTACAGCTGAATTCTCAGTTCAAGGACAGTAAAACCACACTACCAGGTTTCTCCAGGAGATTAGAATTACAGTTGTGCATTTTATGGGAGAAGATGTTTTACACGAGATGATCAATGTGTGCTTGTTTCCACCAGCTGTCTTCATGACAAGTAAATGTGCACACACCCCACATGTTTTTGCAATTAAAGAGCTTATACAGTACATTTGACATAGAGCAAATGTTATGCATCTTATACAGGATGAAACTGTGGATGTAATGTCTAGAACCTAGATCTAAATGGCTTTAAAAAGTCACAGGTTTTCATTTAGCTGCTTTGCTCATACAAATATGTTGTTTGCTGTACATAGAGACACTGGAATAATATTTGTCACGCGGGTCACGTTTATTTCATCTGCCAGGTCTGATTTCACAAGAAGAAAGTATGTAGTTTTGCTGCCTGTACGCCTAATCGGATACGTAGCTGTTAGTCTTTTTTGCATGTCCATAAACAAACGTGCGAGAATAACAGAAGGAGAAGAACATACATACTAAACTTTACTTTAAAATTAAATAAAGGGATCAAGTGGAGCCTTTATGTCTGTGGAGGTCAACAAATTGGAATGTTTCAGCCTGAAAGTGCAAATAGGATTAGTTCCCTCCACCTCCCTGTGGCACACACACATACGCCCTCCCTCCTCCTTTGTCTCAGTTTCCCAGAAAGTCAGTGCCTGCATGAAGAATCAGAACCTGCGCAGAGGACCAGACTCATTCAGCAGCCATGCATGCAAGGCATCTGGTTCCCTCCTTGGACTCACTCTTTCACTGGTGGCAGGTTCGAAAACCGAGGCAGGGGCCCTTCATGAGCTGGCTCTTTTTTTGGGAGAAGTTGTTAGGGCTGCTTTATAAGATCTTCCCCTTGTCTCAGTGCTCCCCCTTCACTCACCACCACCTTGTCTTGGAACAACAGTCACTTTGCGCCCTTTCTGCATGAAGTCCATGTCAGACACTGACCTCCTTGGACAGAGAACAGGACCCCACACTAATCCTTTGACAATACAGCCCTTCAAAGAGTATTGTGCCCCTTCAGAACTACACCATGCAGGAAATACCATCCTGCCTTTTGTTCGTAGCTTTCAGTCCTTTAAGACCCATGACTTGTTTAATCCAGTATGTACATACCCTCTCTAACTTTACCCATCAGGCTTTTCTCCCTGTCTGGAATGCAGAGGCAGAACTGCGCTTTCACTCCTAACAGGGACATTTCCTGCTTTCTTATCCCACTGAACCTTGCTGTTCCCAAAACTGACGTCAGTTTATAGACTTTTTTGACCATTCTGAAGAATGTGCCTCTTGAGCAGGGTTGCAACTTTGTGCCGTCCTGGATTTTACTTTTCAGGGGGCAGCTGACGCCTCCAGGAAGAAGAAAGAATTGCATTTAGGTTCCCCAGGTTTTCTCCTTCGCTTCTAGAACGTCCGTCTGCCTCGTCTTCACGGTCGGGCAGCTGTCAGTCAGCCAGGCAGCCAGAGCCAAACATCTGTAGATCATCTTAGGCAGCACCCTGAAAAAAGAATCCCGAAAAAAAACACACTTCCATTCCATTACAGTTATGTATTGTGTTAGCATCTAAAGCTCTTCGGCATTCTGTGGCTTTAGTCCTTACATCTCTCAGGGTACATCATTAATCCAGGCTGGATATATGCCTTTATGTTATGTTTTAGTTTTGTAATATTCAGGGCGATGAGCCCAAAAAAAGAGCCTTGGAGACTTACTGCTCCAAAGAGATAAAATTCCACTCCAGAATTACTTCTTGGAACCTTTATTAAGATTTTTCTTCAATAGGTGGCAGTTTTTAAGGTGTTTATTAGGTACCTCTGCCCTATTTTAAACAATTGAAGAGTTCAAATTAATTGTATTATTTCTTCACTTAAAAGGGCAGGGTACGAAATGAAGAGATCAGAGGGCAGTAGGAGTGAGGATCTCAAGGACTGGAACTGAGTGAAAAGGTTTCACCAATCGTCCACTTCAATACGATGCAAACATATCTTTTAATTGACCTCAGGCTACTTCGCAGAGCAGAGAGGCCAGTTGTGTTGTGTTTGTGGAGCATTGGCTTTCCATCACCACGCCATGCCACGCTGGCAGCTCAAATACCTGCCTGGTTCAGGTGCAAACAGGCCATCAGAGATCCAGTTCCAGTAGCCAATGGCTGGAGAGGCCAAGGGCACTGGCATCACCTCCTCTCATCAGCGGGTATGCCCAGTGGGTGCAACCACAAGCACACATGTGGCCAGCTGTCATTTTCCTGGGGATCCCAGTTCCCCTGTTGTTATTCACACTTGCCAAAACGTCACCGCTCCACCGTGCACAGTTGTGCGAACTGACTTTATAAGCGCCCTCTACTTAGCTGCTTAATGGAACCGGGTCATGTCTTATAAGATTCCTTCTTGACAGGTGGGCACAGGCAGTACCTGTGAAGGTTCCACTTCTTCTGGCAGGGGAAGTGGACATCTGTCGTATTTGCCTTAAATGGCCTGGCCCACACATGCCAGGGCCTCGTGCTTTGGTGTTGCAGTCAAGCGGAGCGAGAAATGCCCGATGCCCCCCCTCTCTTTGCTCCCAGAGGCTTTGCCTGCACAGACCCGTCGTTGCTTGCTATTGTCATAACACATGTGTTTTCTTTGTGCGGGACAATTAAGAGCAGATGGAAAAGAAAGAGCTGATAAAGTACAAATGCTGGCAGCTGTCCCTGGCTGTTTTTGAACAACTCGGATGCAATGAAAAGTGGCAAAAGGGGAATTAATGAGGCTGGAGCCCAGCAGTGCCTCGAAGACTGTGCCAGCATTTACTTCCAAGCTCAGCGGAGAATTTGGAACTAGAGGAAGCTGCCTATGACAAGGAGTTTATTGTGACTTGACTATTATAATACTTCTCCAGGCCCTGCAGGGAGGCAATAAAAATGTCATGGTATACATTGGAAAGTATAGAATTTAAAATAAATGATTTAATGTGAAGGCTTCCAAAGATCTAGTTAAGAGTCGTTTTGAATATTGTGCCCAATTCTAGTTGCTTTTTTACTCGAAGGACATTGCTGCCCTGGCAAATTTCAGAATTCTGTCCATAAAAGGGATACAATACAATACATCAATGTGTTAATGGAGCTGTTCTCTTTAGTCTTGAATAGAAGAGGTAATGAGGGGATTTACTAAGACTTTAGAAAATCTTAAAAATGGTACTAACCCAATTAGCGGTGTGCTCAGCAAATGCAAGAAAGACCTGAAGGCAAAAATTTAAAGTTGCAAGGAAGTGCAATTAGGGCTACAGGAGTACAGGAGGAACTTCTTACACAACGTGGGAGGTGGGAGCTTGGAGCCAGCTGCACAGCCAGACTATTGGAGCCGATTCCTCTTGCTTCACTAGCTCCCACATGCAACATCTTCCAGAGACCAGTGAGGTTTGGTCTGTGTACACATCCGTCCCTGGGATCCATCACCTTGAAAATACAAAATGTGATCTGTTCACTTCAAAATGGACTTTACTGCTATAGATTCTTCTGATTACTTTGTTGCAGTTAGTCAAAACCTTAACATTGATTTTAAAAGCCTCCCAATTGTGTGACATGAACGTTACAATAAAAAGTAAATGTGTTACCGGACAGTTATTTCAATGGAATTTGTAACAGAAGTAAGGGAGGGATGACAGCAAGCAAGTTCAATCAGACTCGGCTGTCAGTAAATCACAATCACTCCCTCTCCTCAAACACTATAAGTACTGTGCGGGACCCCCTTCTCTCCCTCTCACACCTCCACCCCATCTCTACCTCTGCAGCTGCCCCTTGGTCACTCCTCACTCTGTATGGGGGTCCCAGCCCTCTCGTCCTCTGGCCAGGAGGTCGGCCCTCAGCCAAGCGGGCGAAGCCAGGTTTTCACTGAGCACTCCGTCATCCTTTCAGGACACTTTATTCTTGGGTGTTGTCATTCCTTGTGACAAGAAAAACAAATCAGGCTGATCTCAATAAGATGATTAATCTCTTGATGAGCTGTTAACTGTTTTGTTGTATGCAAACAATAAAGTCTGAATTTCTTTACACTGGAGGAATTCTAGATTTAGATACACTTTTTTTTTCTCCTTCATTATTGGAATATGTTTTTGCAAATAAAAGGCCAATTACTATAATCCTTTATCACAGTGTTCTAACTTTAATTTGTATCTTTTACTTGAGATTTGAAAAAACACGTTGTTTTAGAAAGGAGATCGTTATCAATTGCAAAGAAGTACTCATTGAAAAGGTCAGAATCATTGTTTTCTCAATAAATATTTCCCAAAATGCACATGCAATTTCTGTTATAGTGTAAAGAACTGTAATGTAGGGATAACAGATCGGCTTTTAACAAATAATTACCTTCCTGAAAGACTCACTGTGTAATTAGAAGGCGGGTGCAACTACACGTTTAATCTACTCATTCAAGTATAACAAAAAATTATGCTGAAGTCAATTTGCAAATTAAGTATAAAATAAAAGCTGGATAAAATTCAGTAATTGTTCACTAAGCATAGGCACAGTAGCAAATACTCCTTTTATATATTTGCTTGTTTTGAAATTGGAGCACTTCAAGGTTTACCAAAATTCCCCTTGTCATGTACAAACAAAAACAAGAAAGGTTACGAAGCGCAGATCACATGGTTCATGTGGCCTGTTCCAGAGTCAGGACCAATCAACCCAAGATCCAAGAATATCATCCAGCTGTCTCTTGAAAGAAGTCAGGGTACAGGCTTCAACAGCATAGCTGGCTCCCTTAGGTTGTTACAAACTCCTACAAGCAATTGAAAGATCGGGAAAAATGCCCCTCCCCCGCATTTTATTTCTGGCAGTTAAACATTACTTGCTCCACAGGGTCAAGGCTGAAAGTCAGGGAGGTACCTAAGGGAGCTGTGTCTGAAGCCAAGTGTTTCCTCGTTCCTCCTCTGCGCTCCAGCACCCCAAGAAAGGATTCAGCAGCACAATGTTTCCTTTATATGTGCCACTGATCCCTGCAGCTGCAGCTGGAGCTGGAAAATAGGGCTATCAAAGCAGTTCTGGTTCACTTTGAAGCACTAAATTGCTGCCGTGGACATTGCAGAGAGAGCACTTCACAGCACACAGAGAGAGCGTTTTTGCACCAGAGCCTTGCAGCTTGTGCGGTTATTGTGGGAACATTCTTTAACTTTTAAGCGACATGGTTGCTAAGACAAAACATGGTTTCTCTGTGTATAAAAGTGGAGTCACGCAGTAAACAAGTGGTGGGGAATTTTGATTTTCACACTTCCCATTTGCACTGCTCTGGTGTGTTAGAGTGAACACACACACGCTTGGTCATCCCTTCCTGATTCTCTCTTTGTCTTTCCTGCACAGGTTACTGGACCATGAGGGCCCATCTTGGGTGTTTTCTCCTGTTAAGCCTTCTCCTGATTGGTGCTGTCTCAGGCCAGAGGCGGAAACCTGTAAAACCCACAAAAAAGCCTCCCCCCACCCTTCTGGAACCCAAGGAGCCGACAGACTTCCCTCCTCCCATCCTGGGGCCGCCCTCCATCTACCCGGACTGCCCCAGTGAGTGTTTCTGCCCTCCGGGATTCCCAAATGCCTTGTACTGTGACAGCCGCAACCTGAGGAAGATTCCCACCATCCCATCCCGGACCCATTACCTTTACCTGCAGAACAACTACATCGACGAGGTGACAGAACAGCCCTTCATAAATGCCACCGAGCTCAAGTGGGTCAACCTGGACAACAACCGGATACGGCGAGTGGAGCGCCAGGTGTTCGAGAACCTGCCCAACCTGCTCTTCCTGTACATGGAGAGGAACAACCTGAAGGAAGTGCCCAGCGACCTGCCTCCCAACCTGGAGCAGCTCAGGCTCAGCCGCAACCAGATCTCCAAGATCCCACCGGGGGTCTTCAACAAGATGGAGCACCTGGCCTTGCTGGACCTCCACCACAACAAGCTGAGTGACAGCAATTTGGGAAAGAACATTTTCAAGGGGCTCAAGAACCTGGTACAACTCAACCTGGCTCACAACATCCTCAGGAAGATGCCCTTGAACGTCCCACACAACATATACCAGCTCTACTTGGACCGGAACAACATCCAGGACATCCCAGAAGATTACTTTAAGGCCTTCCCCAACCTGGCTTTTGTAAGGCTGAATTACAACCAACTGACCGACAAAGGAGTGCCCAAAACAGTTTTCAACATCTCCACTCTCCTGGACCTCCATCTGGCCCACAACAAGCTGAGCAACATCCCTGTCTTTAATCTTGGCTTGGAGCACCTGTACCTCAACAACAACAACATTGAAAGTGAGTCCTGGGAAGGCACTGGGGATATGTCTTACTGTTTCTTTTCACTGTAAACACAGTGTAAAAGATAAATTCAATAAGACAATGTAGCTACTGTATGCAGACAGGCAGAGAGAGGAACAGATGGAATGGATGGATGGACAGACAGGTAGCAAAGCAGAGCATATAATCAGGCAATGATTGAAAAGAGCAGGAAACAATTACAATCTTTCTAGAAAGAATTATGAGTACTACATGAGAGAACTGAGTGGTAATAATACCAATTTTGTCAATAATGCATTCTGTTCTCTGCATCTGCTGGAGAAATTAACACAGCCCATTCATTCTTTGTTTCGTCTTTCCAGAGATCAATGGCACAGAGATTTGTCCTTTCCAAGTGATGAGTGTGGATCTCAGCAACGAGGATCTCCTGCCACGGCTGCGGTACCTGAGACTCGACGGGAACGAGCTGAAGCCGCCCATTCCATTGGACCTCATCATGTGCTTCAGACACCTGAAGTCCATTGTGATTTAAACCCACTCTTCCTCTAATGGCTGACGGAGAGCGCTCCGCGTCCCATCAAAGGTCAAGGGTCAGGGTCAAGGGTCAAGGACTAACTGGTGTGGCCTTTTTTCCTGTTTGTCACAGAATCGATTTAATACCTAAGCCTTTAGATTCTGAAACATAGGAACCCTATTTATTAAACAACAATGAAATAAACGATGGAAATGCTTTTCTGGCAACAATGCCATTTTTTGCAAGCATGGATAAAATGTGCAGGTTGTTACATTTTCCTTTAAGCCCGTTTATGTTTACAATATCACTATGGATAATTCTGTGTGACAGAGGTGGGCTCAGTTTCCAATTTTCTTCAAGCTAAGAGTAAGAAGACAGCATAATTGATAATAACAGCTTGATACACCTAGAAATAAAGGTACATTAACCGCCATATTTAGCAGTGTAGTTACTGCTTTCTAATGTCAAATAGAGCTCAACATCATGTTGTGCTTCATGTGGCAGGAAAGTTAGACACCAGACTTTTCCAGTAGTTTCTGTTTCATTATCACACTGTTCCATTTAAGGGAATGCTGTCTTAACAGAAAGAGTTACAAATTAGAGGAGGGTATTTGGTCTATAAGAGAATGAGATTCATAACATGTTTAAGCTGTTGCGTAAAACATTCAACTACCATTTGGTTAAAAATATCATTTATGTACCCACATTTTTAGGCTATCTCATTTAAAGATAGGTTTGCTTGCTTTGTTCTATAGAAATGTATGATTTTAGCGAGCCCATTTATGTTTACAATATCACCAGGGTTAATTCTGTGTGAGAGAGGCAAAGTGATGGGCAAACTGCTCATCTTATTAATTTGCAATGTACTCTGCTGTTTGCCCACATGAAAATTCAAGGGCTTAATGTCTTCTTAAAGAAAGTGGTAATTCGTGCAGCAGAATGTAATTAGTCTTGAGTGCAATATTCACTTGAATTCTTTCCTAAGCCCTTGACCTTTGAATAAATGCTTTGACTTTGACAAACACTTTCTGAACTGTTGAAGTATAGAGTAAGTACCTAGTGGGACATGCTATTTCATAAAGTATGAGAAGAAGAATGATATATGTTTTATACCGATAAGCAGTATATCTCTGAAATACTTCCTGAGTCTTGTTATTTTTGTTGATGTTGTACTTCATATGGTGTCATTTCTCATTGGGTAGCCCTGCACTCAGAGCATTTATATATACAGACTTAGATTCAAAACACCTTATATGGAGTTTTTGTAAGAGGCTTTAATTTGTGTGGAATAGTTGTCAGATGCCAGTCATGTGACTCACATGATTAGCTTTTCTCATCTGAACTAAATCTATTGAGATCCAAAATACATGGATCAGCCAGGAGATGCAATATTGCTGCATTAATTAAATGTGTCTTATAGAATTTAACAGACTAGATACCATCCCACCTGCATTTTCACAGTTCTGTAGACATGGCGACTTATAGATATTGAAAGTCAATCAACTTTTTGTGCTCTTTTGATAGCCCTATCTCCACACTCCTGTCCCGAAGTAAACACTCAAGTACTGTACAAGCTATTGCTTCTCCGTGATTTGTTTTAAACAAGGAGGGGCAACAGCAAATGTACAGCATTTGCATTGTCCTTTGGTCCAGTGGAATTGGTGATTGTGTAAGAGGGATCTAATGGATAAAACAATCACAAATGAAGTGAAAGTGTGTGTCTCTATACCAGGCCATGGCAAGGGAACCTGTAAATATCCAGGTGAGAGCTCACAGATTCGAGGCCTGGTCGGTTTCCTGTTTCTTTCTGTGTGCAGCTGTGTAACAGTCTGTCCTGAGCTGCTGAAACCTGTTTTTTCTCTGACATTTCAGCAGAAGGGCAGCTGCTGGTGGAAGATCTGACCCACATCATTATTTATACCAACAAAAAAATATTTCTGTTTCGGGTTTTCTTTTTTTCTGTCTTCAAAGGGCGATGTGCTGAAAGCTCAGAAGCTTACAGGTGATGGCTTACAGGACAATAAACATTTCAGAAATACTGGGTTAAATGTTTGTAGGCGGAATGCTATGATTTCTAAAAATAAGAACTAAATGAAAATGCTTGCTGCAGCACTTGTTGTCACATTGTTTTACGAGGAAGACAGAAGGAGAGCTTGACATGCTTTGAGGAGTAATCCCTGCAAAACTAAACCGGAACCAAAAGGACACATTAGTTACATTTGGTTTTCTGCTTAATTTTTCTTGTCCCATCTTTCTTCCCACAATCATAAGACTTCAGTGAAATCATGGAAAAAAGCAGAACAGAACTGACTGTTTTCTAAAAAATGTGGGTGCCTGAAAAGAGCTGAAAGATTGCCATTATATTAGATAGACAAGTTAGCTATGTCAATCTGATGAGAAGTAATAAGGGTGAAACATCTTTCTGTGGCTCCTAGCTTTGACTTTATTCACAGCCAGTGGAATAGACATCACAATAGACAGTTCTGCTTTCTAGTGTTGTGAAACAGTCATGGCTAATTAATAGTCATATATCCCACAATTCATAGCAATATGCTTCCTCTTAAGATACCACAGCTCTGTTCCTTTATAACAACTAGATTGACAGTTGAATAACATAATCTTAAAAATGTATAATTAACAATTCTTTAAGAGCAGTTTAAGAAACAAGGCCATATTATTCTGCAAACAAATGCATTTCTTGAAAATATTACAGTATTTTATGCTCAAAAACATCATCTTTCCTCTGCCTATCATAACTCTCTCACTCATAACTCAATGTGTCTTATTTCCCTAGCAGGAAGGGCTGGGACAGGCTGATAGCTTTGGCACTGCCAAGGAAATCGCACACATCATTTCAGCTTTTCAGCATGCTATTAAATGCAGTTTTATTTTGCCTACTCACACCAGGTAAGAATTACTAACATACATTTGGCTGAAATGGAGCACAGAAAAATGTTAGATGCGGGCATTGTTACAACTGTGCTAAATTTTATACTCACTTCCTTTCCTGAAGCTCTTGTGAATTCTGTTAATTTATTAAAGCACCGATGACGCAAATATGTTTATATATCAATAGACAGATTGGTAATAAATTAATAATAATACATCTGCAAGCATTGCTCATTGCTGTTGAATTTATTGTACACAAATGTTAAAGAATGAATGTTTGATTCCTTGTGGTTTATAAAGGTCAGCTAATTGTAAGAAAACTATTAAAAGACAGTCATGTTTTTTTAATTCATAAAATGTTCATAAGAATTTATGCTTGTTTAATAAACCTGAACATAAATAAAATTATGTCAGTGCATTAAATGATTTGACTGTATGTGAGATGCACAAAACAATGTCATAGGAACAGTTAAGTTTGTAGGGCATCTCTGTGTGGAATTTTGTATGTTCTCCCTATGTTTGACTGGGTTTCCTCCCAGAGACATGCTGGTAGGTTAATTGTCCAGTGTGAGTGTGTTCGTGTCTGTGTGTACACTTTGATGGACTGACGTCCCCTCTAGGGTGTATCCTACCTTGTGCCTGTTGCTTGCTGGGAAAGGCTCTGGCTCCCCTGCGACCCTGAATTGGATGAAACAGTTAGAAAATTAATAGGTGGATCTTTGGTCACTTTATTTGAATTCTACAAGAATTTACCTTACAGCTCAATCTACTATAATGGATTTGCTTCCTCCCAATTCAATCAGCATTAGCTCAATGGACTGACCACTCAAGTACCATTATTGGGTAATGAACAAGAACAGCCGATATGGTCTGTGATGTTCTAGCATCGTTCTGATCCCATCGTGCCGATGTATATCGATCTCCTGGGTTTGGAAAAGATTGGTTCCGCGTGGTGGGGTGACCTCCTGCGGTTCTTGTGCCTCACAGGCACAGTGACGCAGGCGAACTACAAGGTGGTCAGTGGCACGGAGGGGCAGAACTGCCTGATCCTGTGTGAGTGTGACCCCATAGCCGCCCAGCCGACGGTGGCCTGGTGCCGGAAGCAGAGCGCGGACCCCTGCCTGCTCATTCTGAAGACCAGCACGGACGGGCAGCAGGACAGGGTCTCCATGTCCATCACGAAGACCAGCAGCACCCTTTTGGCCCGGGTGTCCATCCAGCCACTGGTGGCCTCTGATGCTGGCGAGTACTTGTGCGGCTTCTGGGGAAGGAATGTAGACGGCGAGTTCATTAATGTTCAGGACAGAATCATCCTTCATGTTCTCAAAGGTAGAAACTTCCTTTTGCAGTGTGCATCATGTATGCAGTCTCTGTTTCTCTCCTGTGGCATACAGAGACTGACAGACAGCCTGTGAGATGCAGAAGCAGGTAGATTAGGTTTTTCGCCTCTAACATTCAGTTATGTCCTACAGTTACACAGGACTTTAAATTTAAGACCCATATTTTCAGATCATGTTTTACAAAACTGAAAAAACACACAAATACCATTCAATCGATAAATCAATTACGGCATAAACATTTTTGTGTTGTATGAACCAATTAATCAATGAGTGTTTATTATCAATAATTACTGTCTTCACAGTTTGGATTTCTTTTTCTTGGAAGTCTTGGATTGCCAGCCTCTTTCAGCAGAATAGTCTCACATCTCTTGAGAAGCTTTTAAGATGATATACAGTAAATGAGAACCAACGCAGAGCTAGATCCTTGTACATCTATGCAGTTCACCCGCGATCCTAATGACTTCCAACTGCATATTGCTCTTTTGTTTTCCTCCCTCAAGTTTCCCTCTGTCCCCTTGTCTTCAAAAAGATCACAGAGAAGGCAGCTTAAGGGCACGATGCCTGGGGTGTTCGACTATCCTCATAGTCACAGAAGTGACTCACAATCTCGGTGCTGAGATCCACTGGACAACAAAGGGGAACTCCCACAAACCATGTGGAGACCATCAGTCACTGTCTGAGAGCTTTCTATGGACATCACAAACAGTTTTTCCCAACACACAGCTCTTCACTGTGGCCGATAAGGATGTAAGGGGCTTGATACAATTCGTTTCAGGCATTCCCAGCCTTTAATCGTGGGCTGCAGAGAATACACAAGCGCTTATAAGCCTGTCCTGTCTTCCGTGTTTTAAGGGTGAAAAGCCAATCTCCCTTGTGTCTGTGAGGGAGGGAGAGTGATGGGAGAGGTAATTTCCTTTTCTGTAAACACCAGATGGTCTGTTGTCAACTATGAGGGAACCTGATCTATGTGATCCAAATGAAAGAGCTTTTTAAGGAGGGAAAATCAGGCGCAAAGAGTAGCTGAGAATGAGCACTGGTGGAAGTAGCAGGTCAATCAGGTGGGAAGTATGTGTAGTGCCGGGGTGCAACAGACCAGAGAGAGCAAAATGTAAAAAGGTCAAAAGTCACGAATGTTCACCTTAGATAAGGTATCTGTATAAAAAAATACAGGCTGTTGGAGAGGTGTAGCAGACTGTAAAAAACAATGGGTTACATTAGAATTCTAAAATAATTATAATGAAAACACACCATTTAGAAGAAGAGTTTTGTAATGTATTTTATGTTTCCCAAAAGCATGTGAAATATGTGTAGCATATTAAAAATGAGGACGCACTGCCCATATGAATTTTCCTGGGGTGACATTTCTTCTGCCACTGCACTGCTTGCAAACAATAGTCTATGCAAACAATTTTAATCTTGTGTAAAGGGGCGGTATAGCATAGTGGGTAAGTGTCTAGACTCACTCGTAGCTGGTAGGTTGTGGGTTCAAACACAGCTGTTGTACCTCGTGTGAAGCCCCTTTATCCCAGTTGCTCCAGTCCACCATCTCTCTATCCAGGGGGCCATATGCTCTCTGATCACTTCACACCTAGAAAACGGCATAAGCTCTGATGAGCCATTGAGAGTGCCTCGAATGGAATTATCCATACATCCTGCACCAGACTTCTTCCCACAGGTTGAATTCAAATAAAGTTCCAAATTTATTTAGAACAAAAAAAAAGAAAAGATTTTTGTTTTTCCACCTGCACTGAAACAAGGTTTTTAAAACTCCTTGTTCAATTGTGTGATTTACAGCTCAGCAAACCTCAGACAATGCAGCCACTTCTCCTCCCTTGTTAAACTCCACTGACAAGAACGTAACAGAGCTCCATCCCAGGTAAGGAGATGGCTTTACAGCGAGCAAGAGAGAGAGAGAAAAAAAAACTAAAATGGAAAATGGAAAATCGTGGACCTTTCCTTCCAAATATTATCCCAAAACTCATCATTGTGATTTTTTATACATACCCCCAAAAAAAGACATCAATGTAACCGAGAGGGAACTGCATATTGTGAGAGAAAAATGGTTTAACTCGTTTTCCTCCTGGAAATAAGTTCCTCAAAAAGGACACGCGTGACTCACTGCTTTTTAAAACCCACACGGGCTGCAGTGGGAATGGCTGTGTCATGGGATGCTGGGAGATCTGACATTTAAAAATCAAAATATTTTAAAACAATGGAAAAACAAACCGACCAGAAAAAAAAATGCATCTTTCGGAATGTACAGTAACTAGGCTACTAAAAACAAAACAAGCCAGAACAACTCCAGAGTCTTTTGATAGCCAAGAGGAAGCAGACCTGGGCTAATTTACTGTAGATCCCTATGGTACTGCACTTTTCCTGCACTTTTGTGATCACAGCTCTCTCTGAATTTTCTCAAATCCCCCCAAATCATGCGCTCGACCCTCAAGATGGACCCCGCATCTCCACCAAGATCCACATTCCCCTAGCAATAGATTGCTATGGCCTAGAGAGGGTGAGACTAAACTTACTGCTAAGCTTCCCACCCCGAAAGCAAAGTCGGACACCTTCGGACACTGACGCTCCTCGAGAATGTTCTGTCGCTCTGTTTTTCTCCAAAGGGGTACAGACCTTCGCCTCGCCCTCCCCCTGGCGGTGGCCCCGGTCCTGCTGGCGGTCACAGCTGCTGGATACTTCAAAATCCGGAGAAGGAGGGATTCCAGAAAAGTGGGTAAGCCACCCTGCTGCTTTTTAAAATATTCAGGCCGCGTTTTTGCCCTCGTGAAAAGGAACGAAAACCTCCCCTCTTGACTATGCCTCAGTGCTGCAGAAACATCTTAAGAAGGTGTTTTCATAATTAAAGTCACAAAAAGTCTGCAATCATGACACATTTTTACTTCATGGTCATGTCACCTGTATTGCATATATATACCGTATATCCATCCCTTAATATTGCACCTATATTGCAGCACAACTCACTTCACTGTTTTGCACTCTTATAACTTGGAAACAAGTGCTCATTGACGGTCATGGTCTGACAAGTACTTGTTTATGTAGGAAGGAGACAAAGTAATGCAGTACCCTGCACAGGGGAACAGCAACAGTATTTCCCCAGGATCTGAACCTATAATCCTTCTTAGTGGTAGTGCTGAGGTAAAACCACTGTTCCACACTGCCACCCCAGGCACACAACCACAGTACTGTGCTGCCTTTTTCCTTTTGTTTCTCTTGGATGACTTTTGTGTGGCTTGAACTTCACATATGAAGTCAGCTGCCAAACACACTCATGCACAGAGAGTGATGTCTGCTTGCTCACAAAGTCAGCACCTGTCCCATCATCCAGCCAAACTCACCCCAGCATTTGAAACTGGCGCACCCACCAGGGGCCTTTGATATTCTGCAGCATGCATTTTTTCAATCAGCACCCAGCAGTCTTTTCTTACTACATTAAATATCAAAGTTAAGTGTAGTTATGTGAAGGTTCATGTAACTGAGTTATGTATAACTGGCTCTTATTCTAATTATTCTTGCTGTCTTTTGGGATTTTTTTTATTAGGTGCTGCAGGGCCCCAGGATTCAGTCAGAGCATGTGAGGTACTGCATGTCTTATTTACCAGACTGACATTTTTGGCGGTTACTCCTGACAAAGAGTTTTACTTCTTTATTTTTGTCTTTTTGATGCACGCAATCTTTTCTCTCCCTCACTATTTTGACCCCAGCTCAAAATGGGCAACTCAGATTTCAACAGACCTGCAGTGCACATGCACAGGGTCTGGTGATCGGCGAGTGTGCTCTGAGCTCATCGGATCCTCTTCACCACACAGTGAACTTGATTAGTCATGTTCTTCCATGAAACAAGCAGTAAAGCAGATATGAAGAGACTGTTTCAGTCTAGTTACTTTCTCTTGCCCCAGAGCTTAACATTTAAGAAGTCAATCTTTGTGCATTGTACAGATTGCAAGTGGAACTGCTGCCGCTGACCTTGCATGGTTACAGGACCAGCAAGTGAGCTGTATGTGTGTGGATGGAAAAAAAATAACTAATCACAATCCATGAAACTCAAACCACCAACATTTTTATGTCTCTTGCACAAGCAAAAGCTGAATTCCACAGTCTTTGAGTTTTTCTTAAGGGCAGAATTTGGCCTACACATGTGGTTGCATTTCTTAAGGATAAACCAGCTTTTAATTGTGGATCTGACAGACAAAGATCCACATTAGACAGACAAAGAGATGGCCCAGATGTAGGATTGCACTGCATGTACCATCCCATGCGAAAGTTCGCTGTAGCATTTCTGCCACGGTGCCATTGTTTTAACACGATCATACCGGTTTATTTTCCTCTACTGTGTCTTTTTTCCCTTTGTGTGGGATGTGGTTTTACTCTATTGTTCAATGCTTTACCATGCTTTGCATCTGTTAACTCTGCCTGTATACCAGCGCTTCTAGAGCTCTTGTGATGATGCAGTTTCTGGGCGGAATGCTTTGCAGATCCCTGGTGGAGGTGAGCCCGGCGTGAGGGATCTCACCTACGCCGTTCTGACATTTCACCCTCGCGTCTCCTCTGAAGAAGCCAGATATGCAAACGTCCAGCCGGGCCAGGGGCCGAAAGCCCCGGAGACAGTGGAATACAGCTCAGTCTCCTTCCTGTCCACTGCAGGGCAAGGACATCAGGATGGGAAGTAGGAGAGAGTTACAGGGGCATTCCTGGGTTTGTGGGTCAGCAATGGATCCAGGCAAAAGGGCTGGCATCTTGCATCTTAAATGACAGCACCCACAAGAACACCATAACCATCTCGTGCCGGGTTGGATCAGAGCTCCATTACCTTAGAGGCATCAGTGACAAAAGAGAGATTAACAGAAATATTTATTGCACTTAAAATTAATCAATTAAAATAAATTGCCCAGTAATATCTTTTCTAGACGCAGGGTGTTAATGCCTATGTCTGCAACAGAACGTATTGGATCTGAAAGCACTCTGACATGTTCAGCACACACAATAATTAATCATTTAGCAAAAACAGATGACAGAATCCAAAGGAATATCAGGACTGCTTACAAAACTTGTTTTTTCTCCAAAAATGGACTATACTTTCCAAGCTTGTTTTAAATAAGTAATAAATCGTCTGCTTACTGGTTTGACCTGTTAATCATTTACAATGGGTTTTGAGAAAACGAGGAAAAAAAGCCTTTGGAAAATCACCCTGTTAATAGTTGAACAAGCTTCTTCATTACGCGTCTCATATCCGTAGCTAAGTTGAATGCGCCCTCTTGTGGTGCCACAAGTGCAAAGGAAGTTATAAGTTTCTAACTGCTGACGCAACTTAAAATGTAATATCTCCGGCTGAGCATTCACTACCGTGCTACAAAACAGAAACATTTGTGTAACATTATGTACGTTATAATCATAAGATATATGACTTAATCTGAAGTACAATTATTAAACACCCTTTAAACTGTGTTTAATAATAGCAGGAACTGTGGATTTGAGCACAGAACAATGCTCTTAAAAGGGCTACAGCTCACCACTACTTTACACAAAGGGTTGTGGGAGTGTGGAGCAGGGTATCCAGACATGTTGTTGAAGCCCATACCCTGGCTTCCCTCAAGAAACAGCTGGATGATGTCTGTTAACCATTAACTATCAAATGTCTGTAAACGGTCTTATGTTCTAATGGTCAGAAAAGATTGGGAACTGCCTCTCTGACTATCATACAATAAGTTATCATGTCACTTTGCAGAGGATTCCTTGTGCTCCTTCTTGGGGGTGCCATTGACGAGCAACATACAATAAACCTGGGGACATAAAATAATTTGGTGGCCTAAAGAATGAAAGGGTTTGCAGCAGGTTAGCAAATATTTGAACAGGCCTGCTGATACAGCTTGTTGATACAACTTCCTTACAGGCAGGTTGCAGTTCTCAGCCAGGTGAGTTGCCTCTCCAAGGATTACTGTTTGAACCATGTTTTCTACAAGTTTCCTTGAGGTTTGACCAAACTGCTGAACTCTGCGTTGTCCCTGTGTGTGAGATGGACTGGTGTCATGTCTAGAGAGCAGTCCCCCTGTCAGCCTCTGCTCCTGTGATCGGCTCCAGGCTAATACATCTGACAATACATGGGAGAAAATTTATGTTCATTCTACAAAAATAAAACCCAGCCAGTTAAAATTAGGATATCTTAAAAAATCACAGTTTTTAAAATTCACATCTTCACCACATCGAGAATTCTGATCTCAAAATGTCAAATATCAAAGACAGGTCATAGGTTGTTTAATGTTTCAGGCAGCTAAACAAAACTGAAATTACTGTATTCGTCATATCTTTTAAAAACAAATTGGATACATTTGCCAAGCAGGAACAATTAAAGACTTTAAGCTCACAACAACAAACAATTCTTACAATCAAAGTTGCTACATTGGTAAAAAGAAATATTATTCATTACATAAAGGAAATTATTTGAGTAGGATAAAAATTCAAAATTCCCAAAATGTTAGTTTTTTCAGAGAGTGGGTTAGTCTTTAATTTTACCAATCATGACATTCACTTGATCTGTGTAATCTCAGAGCTGCCATCGAGATTCCCTGTTTTCTTCATTGAGGAAGCTTGGCCTGAGCTGATTCAAGTATTCACAATCCCCAAAAGTGCTGACAAAGTCAACACACTGGTCTTCTTCAGATTCAGAACCGAAATACAAATCAGGGGACAATAAGTGTGAACTAAATGCCATTTAAAACTGACCACAGTTTACACAGAGGGTGGTGGGGGTCTAGAACAAGCTGGCCAGCCATGAGGTCAAAGCCAATACCTTGCCTACCTAGGAAATTGTTGGATCCTTGCACTAATTAGCTATTGAAAAAGAAACAAAATAGATGGGCCACACTGCTTCCCTTCCTTTGCAGTGGTTCATGCTATGGTGGGATCTTTAAGCTTCAAGCAACACATACAATACAGTACAGCATTGCACCCTTTTTTAGTTGTAGCCTTTCCTTCAATTCTGAAGAAGAGTATGATAGCCCAGTCTTTCCTGTTGTTAGTGTTCGGTGGCCTGGGGGTACACCTGTTCTTTTACTTCAGCATTCCACCGTCCAGCTTGCACATGTTCTGCAGAGATCGGTGCTTCACAGACACTGAAACAATAACGCCCTGGAGCTCATTACACAGGGTCACCGAGACAGCTGGGTGAGCAGCTAAAACGACCACAAGACCAAAATCTCTAACCTCACCACAGCACACATATCCTCTAATCCGATCCGAACTCAGCAGGGCTCTCAAAACCTGGCTCAGCCTGCTGTCTTCACTAATTAAGTGAACCCTCTGCAAACAGGAGACACAGCCCCCCTACAGTACTTGCAGAAGGTGAATGACAGTGACAGTGACCTGCTTTTCATTGGTCCTAAAGAGACGCTTTGAGTGTCGAAACAGGGGAGGCAAAGGGGTTGTCACATAGATCCTTGGACCGAGGCCAAAACCCACCAAGATCCAATTCCTAAACAAAAAGTTTTTATTCTGTGCAGAGAGCACTGAGACATCCTGCTTGGAAAACCAATCTATTCCATTCTCAAACAGCTCACTCCATCCTCACTTTACATCACCCTGCCCCCCATATCCACCACTCCACCTGTCCTCACAACTGCATTGCTGTAGTTCCTGGAAATACAATAGTAAAACAACAAGAGCTTTTATATCTGGAAACAATACCTTATGGAGTGTACCACGAACGTTTCTGGGACGGGTGACTGCTGCCAAGTTCACTCTCACCTCAGTTGCCCTAATTAAAAATAACTACAAATACCCCACGTGAGGCTTTTCTCCTTCGCACTTGTACTTTCTGTCTCTGTGCCCCCCTCCCCTTCATCCCCACTCGTTCTTTCCCCCTTCGTTCACTCCTCCCCACGCGTGGGGGTCCCAGACTCCTCGTCCTATGGCCTCCACGGCCAGGGAGCCAAGCGGGTTGAGCCAAATCTCACCATGACTAGACTAGACTTTTTACCTGATGGTATCGTCATTATTTTCTGCAACTCCGAGATCTAAGATCTAGGATTCTGCGTGGAGTCCTGGGGGTGATCTATAAACTGCGTTTTGGGCACACAAAAATAATGACTTCCAGCAATAGTGTTGCCGGCGTGACCCAGAAGCGTGAGAAAAGTCGCAAATATCAGACCTTGTAAGTCTTAGTGTCCCCCTTACCACTTCACAGACTTCCCCGAGAGTGTAACTAGCGTTTGTTAAATTGCTAGTAGAGTTTTAACGAGTGATCATTTGTCTCGGTGATAACAGGATTGACTGAGCATCCCAAAACACCAAGACTCGCAATACGTTTCATCACATCTGACGACGCGCTAGAAATCGGTACCACGCTTGCCTTTCCGCGAAAAAGCTTTTCCTCGTGCGCAATCTGCCCGCTGGGAGGAAAAACTACATTTCCCACAACCCACCGCAAAGCTGTCATTGGTGGCTCCCGCTGTCACAAGTGAGTACAGGTGACTGGAACACAACAAGACATACTCGGAGAGATTGTACACACTGTAATCACATCACGGAGGGGAAGGGAAAAAAAGAAAAAAACGAACAGCTTGCCTCCAAAACCGGGATCTGAATCTGTTCGAGTATACACTTAAAAATATCAAGAAGTTGGGAACTCGCAACTTTTTCTCTCTTGTAGGGGAGGAAGAAATTAACTTAAATATAAATATCCATTGCGAATTATTTCACAGCGGCAAGTGCAACTGATCCAGCACTTTAGCTAACTTTGTTCTTTATGACCTTCAGCGGGTAAGTGCTCTGAGTATCTACCAACATTTTAATATCGAGAGTTCTGTCAAGGTCTAACCTAGGCGTAGTAGGGTATTTCGGGAGTCAAGATAGCAAAAGCGGGATTAGGTGTCAGTGCTGGGAACGGAAAAAGAGGGCTGTAACACGGCACCAGTGACTCTACAGCTGCGGGATTTTAGGAGCCGGGCAAAAAGAGGCGTGTGTAGTCCGAACTTCAGCAGCGCTGCAACGGGGTGCGTGATACTTGATAATGATAATGATAATGAATGCGTCCAACTTTAAAAAAACGATCAGTGTCACGCCAAATTTGACAAAACTGTGACAGCAATATAATGAAATATTCGGATACTCCTAAAATATTTTATATAATATTCGCTAACGATAGCTTGACTCGTTTCCTTTTTACATCTGGAAAAGCGCAGTGCAGTGTCGTAATTTTACAACCACAGAAAAAAGCTTGTGTCTGCAGTGCCTTTTAGTTTTACAGGCTTGTTTTGTTTTACTTACGGCGACACTGCTTCACTATCGCCCTACTGTAAGTGAAATAAGTGCATTGGTGGAATATTATTGTATGGACGAAAAGTGTGTTTGTAAAATCTAAAAGGCGCCCTTCTTTGACGAAGGTTCTGACCCCCCCAGCATAATAAAATTAAGGAATTAAGTTCAGTTAATGGTTTTTGGGCGCCCACGCTTCTGTATTCCGCAAACTTTGCGAGGAACCGAATGAAACCGGACGAGGTCGGATACCGTCCAAGGGCCGAGAGCCTGCGCTTTTCGCCGGGTTGTGTTTACACATAACGTAATACCTCCAGGAGGTTATTTATAGCATTAACGCAAGATGGCCTCGCAAAAAAAGGAACTTTTCTTCAGTAGCAACCTCGTGTGCGTTCTGAGTCGTGCGTCTTTGCAGTGGGGGCTCCAGGAACAGAGTTACCAGAAGACTGATAGCATCCAACTAATTGAGTCTGTTCGCTCCCAGTTTACAGCCAGCCGAGTAATGCAGCATTTTTGAGCGTGCAATAAGCGAAACTATATTCTGGGTAACACAGGTCACCCTTATGCGTCTCTTAAGCGGTCTCCTGTCTTAAAAAAATAAAATGTAACATTTCCCAGGGTGCACGATACAACCGGTGTGTTTGAAGAGGAGGAGTTTTTAGGCACTGAAGGTACAGCAGGGCAGCGTGCTGAAATTCTGTAGACTGGTGCGTATAGCGCGAAACGAATTAGGTCTTATTTGGATTATATTTGTCGTGCTTTTTCTTTTAGAGGCAGCATTGGTCCGGGTTCTAGTCTAGCAGCTTCAAGGTAGTGAGAATCTGCTTTTGTGCCCTCGATCGTGATAGTGTACTTCACCAGAACTGTTCCAGTTGAAGACCCAGCTGTATCAGTGGGCACAAATCCCAAGTTGCTTTGGTTAAAAGCATCAGATAAAAATGTATTTTTTTTCCTGCCGATTATTTGTTGCTTCATGACTCGTGCAGGTCTGGCTGTGTTGTTTGGTACAACAGGAGTGTCTGAGAAGAGAAAGGAACGTACAAGACGCAAAGGTCAGCGGTTCTGTTGACTTGCTAAATATTTTGGTGTGTGGCAAAGGTAACATGACGAAATTGTAAAAGGTTGCTCTGAGGTGGATCAATCCTGAATCAATCTGTTATCCAGCTCCTTCCGAAAAGTGTTACAGTCTTACTTGGGTCTTAGTATGAGTTTATGAAATCTTGTGGGGGAAGAACATGTATAATATCAAAGTGGTTATAAATGGGAACAGGCCATTCGGCTGACGAAGCCATTTTGGTAGTAGATAATTGATCTCCTCCAGCTGTGAAGTATTGACTTCAATAACGTACAGTAGCTGGGCTTGTTCCATACTCCCACAACCCTTTGGGTAAAGAAGCTTGAAAGAATCCTGGTATCGGCTTTATATTACATTGCAGTAGTCTCTGGAGACCTTTTTGTACTGACAAACAGGCTTGGCACGACAGCTTTCACATCTCCTGTTGGTCTGCTCAGATGAAACGTTGAAACAGGATGTGCAGGGGCCTGTCTGGTAATGGCAAGGAGCGTAGCCACACGCCGGCAGGGGCAGATCAGCTCCACCACGCATTTCTTACAGGAGCAGCTACCGCGACCTCTAAACTTCATGCGCTCTAAGAGGCGGTCTGCCCTCGCGCCTTTGTCAGAAAAACAAAATCAGCGCTTTCATTCAGAAAGATTAGGATTTTGTTCCTGTTAAGTTTGGCAATCTCGTGGAGCAAACCTAAATAAGAAATATGATGTGCATGATACAGCACTTATTGTTTATGTGAAGTACATACCGTATGATACAGTAGGTTACAAATGAGAGGAGGTCTCTGAGTTCACCCAGAGTCCACTGAGCTCAGCTTAGTAGCTAATTGGTTTGAGAATTCTGTTATATCCAGCTGTTCCTCACAAAAAGCATTGGCCTTCGGCCTTGACGGCATGTCTGGGCAGCTTGTTCCAAACTCCCACTGCCCTTCATGTAAAGTAGTACCTCTTGTCCTGACTGGAAGATCTCATAAAGCTTTGTCCTGAGAGTAGCCAGGGTGTGGGCCTCCACACTACGACTGGGCCGGCTGTTCCACACCCCCACCACCCTTGGTGTAAAGAAATGCCTGCTGTTTTCAGTTTTAAATGCCCACTTCCCCACGTTAGTGTGGATGGAATTGGCTTGAGCAGTGCGAGTCATGTGCGTAATATTTTGTAATGCTGAATCATACTGCCCCGCCTTGACAACCCTTCACTGACAACCCCTTGTAAGCAGGCGCACACTCGTGAGTTTTGACTTCTGTCGTTCCTCGACTTCATATCGCCAAAATCAGTGTGGCGCTTCAGGCAAATCAAGCTCAGTGAAAGGACATGCTGTAGGACTACAGCTAGGAAAGCCTTATCTCCTCTCTGAACGTTCTCTGACAGACACGTGTGGAGTCCAGACATAGCTGTCGCTATTGTAATCTGTTTCTCGCTGTCATGCAGCGCGACCCAGTAATGCGGGCTTTGTGGTGCTGGGTGAGGGTGCTGGCAGGGTAGCCTGAAGCCCTTGCCCTGCGGAGAGCACCTGCAGGAACAGACATGAGGCAGTCTAGGAAAGGACAATCCCTTGGAGCAGCTCCCCACCCCAGTAAAAACTCCCACCACCCTCTTCGGGATTCGTGTTGTGTTGTTTTGTGAAAACAACCAAAAATGGAGTTGATTGTAATTGGAGCACCACCTATTCAAAAAGTGAGAAAACAGTGCATCCCTTTCTTATTAAAGAAAAAAGTTTATTCCTGGTGCTGTAGTTGCATCAATGCATTGTCATTGATGCTTCACATGAATGAGGTTATTTCTATTAATATATTTGATGCTTTGACCCAAAGCAACATTCTTTGTACCCATCTGTGCAGCTGGACATGTTGTTTTTCCAGGCACAACGAGGTGCTTTACTTAAAGGGTTATACCGCAGCACCAAGGCTAGGATTTGAACCCACAGGCTTTCAATTATCGAACCTGAACCCTTAACCCCAGTTCCACACAAAAAGGAACGGTCCCACTAATAAAACTGATCATTATACTAAAACTGTTTATTTTAATGCTGTTTTGAAAAATGTGAGATGAATTTAGTCTTCATAATTTATCTGTGGGTGATCTTGCAGAGCAATTGAATGATCTTATTATTTAATAGTTAATGTGTGTGTAAATACAGTTAGTTACACATGAAGCCATGTGTTTTTGTCAATGGATCAGTGCGGTCCTACTCGGGAGAAAGGCCTGAACTGTTCTCCCTCAGCCTGTCAGTAAAATCCACAGGAAGTCTTGTGTATTGAATCACGTTGGCCCATCAGAAGTAATGCAATTTATTTGTTTGTTGCATCTGCTTTCTCCTGTATTTCAGTTATTAATAGAGAACGTCACAGTGTTTTCTAGGACATTCTGTGAGAGACGGATAATTGTTGAAGTCTGGTTGTGGGGTCAGGGTTCTTTCTGTAGAAGTAACTCCTTGGGTGTGCGAGGTTGAATTCCTCCAGAGTGATCCAGAACCTAGACATTGGCCAATCCACCATCTTAGCATGGCAGGTCTTAGGGTTGCAGGTGGTTGTGTGAGTTGAAGCTAGGGTTGGGCGATATGGCCAAAAACATTATCAAGATAAAAATGTTCATATCAGTCGATATCGATAATTATCACGATAAATGTCAAATCATTATTTCTTTCAAGTTTAAAGGCAGATTTTTTCTCTTGAGTGAAAGTTGAAAAAACCAGACAGTTAATTGGTCAGTTAAACAACTTTTTATTTTAAGAACACATCAAACACTTGCCAAACAGCAGAAACATTAAACAAATCTGTTAGCTGCCCGGTCTGCAACACACACACGCACTCGCGCAGTATTTTGTGTGCATGCGCATATCATGTGCAAGGCATAAACATATATCGAACATTAATCGAACTTATGTTAAAATTATATCGAGGAAAATTATATCGCGATAATTATCGTTATCGAATTATCGCCCAGCTCTAGTTGTAGCTGACAAAGACGAGGAGGTCTTCTGGACCATCTTGATCATTTGGTTGCTAGTAGTTTATCAATCCAGCTGTTTCCTGAAGGATCCTAGGGAATTTGCATCCACAGTGTGGATGGTTTGGTTGTATCAGACACCTGCAGCCCTTTGTGTAAAGAAGTGCCTTTTTAGTTTCAGTGTTGATTGCACCTTTACACTTATGTTCTCAGCTCGGTCTTTCACAACTTGTCCTACTGCTGATTTTATCAGTACCTGTCAGAGTTTTAAATACATGCATTGAGTCTCCTTTGTTTAAGGCAGAAGAGAGTGGTGTGCTCTTTTAATCTGTCTGAGCCTGACATTCTTTTCAGAACTGGAATTAAACTGCTCCCCGTGCCTTGAATGGAATCTGGGGCGACAATGTCCTTTATGTAACATGGTCAAAACAACCGGGCGCCCAAACAAGTATCCCGATATTTTTAATCTTGTAATCATACTCCTCCTACTGTGCCTCCGCAAACAGACAAGGAGAGGTGATAGTGCATGAATGCCTGCTAACTGGCACAGCAGGGAACATCACAGCAGGGAGCTGTGGCATTACCCTCCTTAACATAAGATTCAGCTGTACTGTAACCTTGTGAAAGACTGGTACAATAACCAGTTCTGTCTTGGTTTTCCATGCTTATACTCATTCACTTACCTTCCTTAGCCTAGCTGCCCTCATCTGACTTTCTAATGCATTTCTACATATTTTACTCTGAGTTTACCTTAGCATAACACATGAAGCTCACCTAAGCTTGTGTGAGTAATAAGCTTACTGCCCGTCCAGCGGGTTGCAACACAATTTGTACCACTCTCATCATGGAGTTTGTTAGTGCCATGTCCTGAAGTAGTCTCTGAAAGGCAATTGCTCTGCCACCTGTGACACTGCGTCGAGCTGATATTGATGTCGTTTTCGTCTCTGTTTTCATTTGCTTGTGAACACAAGCACGACTGGAGCTTTGCCCCATGTGGGTCATATACAAATCCGTTTCCCAAGTTTACAAGGGGAGAAAGATCCTGGTGCAAGGATAAGCTTGAACAGACTGTCAGTTTGGTTTTCTGAATATTTTGAGTTGTTAGCTTGTTGTTCATGCTAAGAAAGTCACAGAAATGAGTATTTAAAATCAATTTGACAGTCAGCTCTATTAGATGCAGTGTCTTTACAGCTATCATCCTTTAACTGACCTGTGACATTTTATAACCAATAGCACTCATTCAACTGTTAATGGTTTCTTTTGCGACATAAAAATATGACAGTTGTGATTCCAATTCTAGTACTGTCTTGACATATTAATTTATTCTTTGTAAATACATAGTTTAAAGAGAATAATGTCATACAGTATGTGTGTCACAATTCTGCTTTAAGGTCATGAACATCCACTGTGTTCCACACAACATCAGGATAATTTTACTCAATCACATTTATAATTGAAAATGTGCCTGTATGTACTGTACTACTGTGTGTATTATTTTGTGTGTAGAATAGTAAAGATTGCAGTGTAAATGCTACTTCCATTGAAGCTGAAGTGTACTGTAATTGCAGCTTAAGGCACTGCTTTTGTTGTAAGTTTGAATCGAAATTTATCTCAGGTGTGATCTATGCCTGTGTGAAGTATATCTGGGCAGCCCGCAGTGGGATGGGTTCTGCTTAATGAGTCTGTCAGACATGTGGCAGAGCCATCAAGCTCATTACCCTTGTAAGAGGGAGCGAATCGCCTTGGCAGATTTGAATTTGTTTGAGTAAACAGACATGTTTGGCTACACCTTAGCAAAGCACAGAGGAGTTCAAATCAACAGCTGCTGGGAGCTGCTGAGCTGCTGAGCTGCTTTTGAAGTCTGCCCAGGTATGGGCAAGACAAACAGTGACAGAGGAATGGGACTTTTCACAAGCCTCCATTTTCCAAGTCATCCTGTTTTTTGTTTGCCGACGTAAATACTGTAAGTAGCTGTTTGTGCTGTTGACTGGTTATCCCAGTATTTTTTTCTATTTTTCCAGGGTTTGCTGTGCCATGCATTTATTATATCTGTTTTGTGTGTTTTGCTATCCCTTTGTGTACTGTACCATGCTTGTCCTTGGATTGCACTCCGCATGAGTACACTCCCCTCTGCTTTTACCTTGCTTTACCACAGTAAACATTTCTTGGGACAGTCCCCTTGACTTCTGTCCTCAATGGAGGAGCTGGGTTTTCTTCTGGATTGAGTAAAATATCCCACCCATGCGCGTGTGTTGGTCACTGTTCTGCAGGGCTGTGGGACACTTATTATGGTTCCAGACAATGCATAAAAAGTCAATTAAACTGGAGTATTGTTACAGGTTTTATAAAAGAAAAAAAGTGACAAATACACACTTTTCACTTTTTCAACTTTAAATAATGTAATTTAAAATACCTGCTTGCTACTGAGAATAATGCTCTGGTAGTTTTGCAAATGAGTAACGCCATTGTGCGCCTGAGCATTGAGCTGACATTAGGAGTTCTTTTTTCTCTTGACCAATACAGGATACGTGATTTACTGTAGGTTCCTCGTTTTGTCTGGCTTCATGTTACTGGATGACTTCCCCTTGTGTGTGCCCTCCCTAAAGGTATAGAATCCCTTTGAAATGTCTCACATGCCACAGCTCTGGAGCTGGAGTTCACAACACAAAGAATTTACTCTGAAACTAAACTCTGCTTAACCTGCTACTTGAAATTCAACACTTGTGTTGTTGTAAACAGGCAGGTCGAAAATCATTTTCTTCAGTGCTGCAAAATACCACAATATCCTGGTCTTAAACTCAGTAAGTGACCTTTATATTTGCTTATATATATATGTGAGTTCTTACTCTCCACAGCTGGCAGGCTGCCAGAGAGCCACTGGATTGATCAGCACTAGCTGAAAGCACTTGGATATATGCTTTAAAAAACCCACCTCCCTTTGTCACAATTATGTGCACAGTGTGGTAAACAGAAAAAATGTAGGTGTTAAAATATTTTTGCAAGCCTGTTTAAATGAATCGCAAAATTGTTTTTTAATACAAAAAAATGTGTCCTGTGTTTTTTTTAAAGTATGCATTGGAGTTGAATGGCCTTAAAAAGAGCTATAGTTCCCTATTTCCCTTGTTATGGGAACATGTTATATTTTTTATACAGTATTATAATCTTTTATATTTTCTAAATATATTAACTGCACACACAGTTGAGTTGAACTCTTCAGGAATTTAAGGGAATTTAATGGTGGTGAGTTTGGTGCTTGCGCCTGTTTTGTGAATTGTCACAGCAGCTGTGACTTGCGCTGGCACACAGCACTGGCCTGCTCTGAAGAAGCCGATGACTTCTGCAAGCACCTCAAAGTAAAGTCAAATAGATCACTGTGTGTTTTAGGACAATTTTCCATTTTGTAATATCTGAAAGCGACCCTTCTCTGTTTAACGTGGCACGGTGGCCCCAAGCACATCCCACCCATCGTTTGCAGGTTTATTTTCTATTCTGGCTGTCTGCACACCGGGTTCTGCAGAGCCACAGTCGAGCAGGCTTCATCACTGCAGGTATCACTTATTGGCCAACATGCAGAGATCTGGAAAACATGTCATCACCTTATAATTAATCAACATAGTGGTCCAATAAACTCACTCAGAGGGTACTGTGATGAGTAATCTCAGCATCCTCTGGTGTTCAGCTGAAATGAACAGCAGAGGAAATTGTGGTTCTGCATGAGCAGCATTGCAGATTTCTCTTCTGGACAAACTGCTGCCGATATCCAGATGCTCTTATTTTTCAGGCCAGAACTGGCCTGTGCAATCCATGTCTTGCTGCTTGTCTCCATCCTTGAAGCGTCCCAGACCCCTGCCTACAGCCACGACCGTGTCCGCATGCCAGCTGGGTCAAGGGCTTGCGTGCTCATCATACTTTAAATAGCTCTCTGCAAGAGTCCTGTGTCCACGGGACAGGAGGCGTCGCTCGCGCAGAAGGGCCAGGAATCCAGGGCCCGTATCGCAGGTCCTCACCCCTCAGATTCGCCACGCTCCGTCGCAAGTGCATCTGATTTTCCACGTCACCCGACAGGCTCTGTCGCACTGCTGCCCACCCTCGTGCTCTTATTTGGAAGGATTAGAAGAGAAATAAAAATGCCGTCCTGCTGGTTCTGCTCTTGACATACCCCTCCCACAACGATATTTTTTTTTTTCGACCAAAAAAGAAAAGTTTTGTTGGTGGAAGCTGCTGCATGATCATGTGAAACAGGAAGTGACCCAGGCAGTTGACACCCAGCACAGAGGGCTGGGACTTTTTGTATGTTTTCAGGTTGTTTTGTGTTTTCTGTCCTTGCAGCGCGAGGAGCTCTGATCCGAGACCGATTTCAGATTTCACTTCTCAACTCCCGCTGCTGCGGGGCTTGCGATGTAATTGTGTTCCCAGCTGTACCCCTCAGAGACGAGGCCTTTTGTGAGACATTTCACGAGTGAAAAGAGCGGGCTCTCCGAAAGAGAAAACGTCTCTGGATGGGTGAATGTGAGCCTTGCGTTATAAAGAAGTGGTTTCTTCACTTTGGCCCATCCAACACAAGAGGGAATACAGAGGCAGCTGTTATTGATCAATTCATAATTCATTGCAACAACAACAACAGCAATAAGAATAATGACGTTTTTTTGTTTTTTAAGTACTTTTAGGAACTCTGTGCCCTTTCCAAAAAACAGATTTCCTAAAAAGATTAAAAAACTCACCGTACTTTGACCTGAGAAAACCAATAAAAACAATAAGGGGTACATTAAAAGGGATAATAAAAAATACGTGTCTTGCAGTGCTTTCCAGAGTCAGAGCTGCTTTACAAGAGAAGGCTCTGTAGCCCATTGTGTGGAGCCTGGTCTAAGGTTTGATGAGAAGTCCTGTGTCAGTAGATCACAGATCACACGCTGGACTGTACTTGTGCAGATAAGCTGGAGCTGGACCATTCAGTGCCTTGTATTGCCTTAAAATCACCTGTTTCACAGAGAACCAGTGCAGCTCAGACAGAACAGGAGTTATCTGCTCAGGCAGAGAGGAGGTACTTTTAGTAGCACGGGATGTGCAGAATTGTGGACTTACTGCAGCCTGCAGCAGAAACCCCAGGAAGCCAGGAATTAATTGCCCAATAGACCTCCCTGGCATGACTTGTTCACCAAACCTCTGGGTATATTCTGAAATAAAGTTACTTCCTGTTGGAGTCATGTGAGATATTTAATTGTCAAGCTGTTTCCCACTTTCACCAACAGCCCAGAGAAGGTCTCTGGAGATATAACCATCATTTTCTTCTGGATGGGCAGTGTGTGTGTTGTTGCTATGGAGCAGAAGCTTCGAAAAATACTCTAGTACAGTCATTCAGGCTAATGATATTTAATCAAATCTTGATCCCAACTAGAAATGACCTATTTTAAACTTGTTGCTGCTGAATGGAAACCACCTTCATGCGTTGAATTTCCCAGGAAGGGTTGAATTTTTAATCCAACGAGAGCCTAGGTTTTCAGATGCTGTATAATTCATCACAAGGTTGTTGTCCCACAAAGAGACAAGTGATTCAAGAAGGTCTCTTTTGAGGAACAGCATGCATATCTCATTAAGGCGAGAAGGATTTCTGGAAGATATATCTAGTCAGCAGACTGTTAACAGTGGTGCATTAATCTTACTGGAGCTCCTGTGCCTGCAGCGGTTAATGTCAGATTTCCTGTTAGTGTGCTAGCCTTTGGCCACCATGAGTTTCTTTACTAAAGGATAACATTGTCTGCACAATAAGGAAGAAATATTCCAGAAATTCCAAAAACAGGTGAGTAATTAGCTGCTCACTTATCCGCGGAGCAAGAGTAGCCATTGTGTGGGGGGTGATGCAGAGGGCTGACCATGGAGTTTATATTGTACATGAGCATCAGTCAGTGATTCATCCCCGGAAATGGCAGTACAGTATCTTACTTCATGCACAGCTGTGAAAAAAATACCCAAGGGGACACATGGATGTTACTTTAGGAAGAGGTATGTAGGACTGAAAATAGGAGGCTTCTTTCTTTCTGTGTTGTTTGTTGGTTGTGTGTTTGTTGTGAGTTGTTTGTTCCCCGTGTTTTTTGTGGTTGATTGTGTTTGTTTCTTTCAGGGTTGGTTGCTTTCGTTTGGCTGGGTTTTGTTTGGGTCAGTCTGCCTTCACTTATAACCAATCTTGTCTTCAGCTAGCAAGACTTTCCTGTGCTTGCTCATTACACTACACATTTGAACAAATCTGACAGCAGCCTCTCTATGACTTCTGGGTATCGATATCAGACAAGGCTTTTTCTTGTACAGGAAAGCAGTGCCGCTGTGGTAGTTATTTCGGTATAGCACTCATTTTACGACACCTCCTCATTTCTATGCCTGTTCATGATGCCATGCAGTGGGATGACTGCATAGTCATTAAGACAGCCTGCAGTTTAACAAAGTGCTCTACAAGAAGCAGATAAATGAAGATAAGGAAAAAAAATCACAAAGGAAAAGAACAGCAACAGGAGGACATGCTGCCTGCTTTTGTCTACCCTTCTGCTGCGTGGTCATCTATTTCTCACACTGGGATTTCTGTGCCTCAGTCAGAGCTGAGAGTTTCAGGCCAGCACAGAGACAGCCCCTGCATGTACGTCCCGGTTTGCAGCAGGGCCTCGGACACTGAGAGCTCCTTGTTCCCCATAAAAGTAATGGCATTTCAGTCAATTTAGGGGAAGCGGAGGAGGGCTTGCTCAAAGCAAGAAGTAATACTGTAATTGGGAAGGATCATGACTAAGGGTTTCCCTGTGACTTTATGCGGCCCTGGGTCACGAGCAAAGGCGTTTCTTTTCAGTGTCAGACGAGGAATATAAAGGCAACGAAAGGAGTTAGAAAACATGCTCCGTTCAGGACGTAGTACTGGGATCACGAGCAAGACGTTGGCAGTGCTTTCCAGCTAGACTGTGGGTGCACCATGGTAAGGCATTGCAGTTACTCTGAGCAGTTTCACTCGGCGCTCCGTTTGAATGTCGCGTCGCAGAACAGTAGTGCAGGCTTTTCTCTTTACTGCTCTTTCTTTGGGTCTTGTAGTTTGCGCACGCTGTGAACAGTAGACACGCTGCACAGCACGGCCGACGGATTTCAAAGCTAAATAGGCTTTTACTTTTCTCTCTCTCGTCGTTTTTTTGTTTTTGCTTTGGTTCAGAAGGACTGTCTTCTGTCATCCTATGTGTTGTTTTTATAAACTGAAGGCTAATATTGACACGCTCATGGAGATTCTTTTGTGCTAGGAGTGACTCAGTGGGGATGACGTGTCCCATTGTGTGCCGTTTAAAAGTCTGATAAATTCCCAAACCCATTAATTATCTATTTGTTCTACCCCTCTCTGTGTCCCTCTTTTCTTCTTTTCTGTTCTTCTTTTTTCCAGTGGCATTTTTTGTCTTCTCTGAGATGTGAGATTTAAAACCCACTGCCAGCGCAGATCTTTCAATTTCCAGTGTTGGAGACAAAAGCATGAAGTTAAATTTGGATGTGAAGGCTCCGACTCAACTCCAGCAGTTTGTTTTAGCTGACTGGTGCATCAGATTATTGAGCACCACCCTAAGTTTCTACCATTCTTTTCAGTGAACTATTGGAATAAGAATAATATCTAAAAGCCATGAGGGAAGACTTCTTGGATGTGGGGAACTAAGTTGTCACATTTCTCAAAGGCTGACATAGCCAGCACAGTGGACTTCTTCAGTGTTGACAGTGAAATATGAACCAGAAGACACAGGTGGAAACTTTGTGGAAGTGCATTAAAGCTCAGAAGAGGAGGCACTTCTTTACAGAAAGGGTTGCGGGAGTCTGGAACAAATTTTCCAGCTGCATTATTGAGGCCGATACACTGGTTCTTTCAAGAAGCTTCTGGATGAGATCTTGGCGTCAGTAGGCTTCTGTCTACCAAACAGAGAAGACATGCCAAATGGCCTCCTCTCGTTTGTAACCCTTCTTGTGTTCTTATTGAAGGATGGTCTATCATGTGCAGTCATTCAGTTGAAACTGGGCATCTCCTTCGAGGTACTGTAAAACTGTGGCAGGCGTTAGTCGAAGCAGGAACAGCAGCATTATAACAAGGAGTGTTGGTTTGCATAACAGGTAGGGCGTTGAGTGTAATGGTTGCAAAACACCTCTTTGAGCTGCAGTCATCTGCAAGATGCACGTTGTTTTGGATCTAAGCAGAGATAAGAAGCCTGAGAACAGAATTGAAATAAAGGGTCTGATTCATGACGAACGCCCACAAGCTTATAACTATATGAATTGTGGAGATCATTATATGTCATTCTGACACAGATTTCTGCTGGTTTAAAAAGAAATACACTAATTTTTGGAACTAGTTGGAAATATACTTAATCCATAATTGACTAATACAATATAATTTCTGTGCACATTTGGAGAGTTTTTGGCAGAAGACTGCCTTATCAAAGCTGGTCACAGGTGCAGCTTGTGTTGTCTGACTCTGGATTTGAACCCTCATCTTTATAGCCCAGATATGTATTAAACACAGTTTGCCATAAGCCCTGTCCCACACCACAGGCAATCTAAAGCTCTCGACAGATCTGAGGAGTAACCTCACTATAATAGCCTTATCCTATGTAATGAGACTTGCTGCACTGTTCCGTATTTTTAAATCATCTGGATTATTTCCTTGTGGTATCTATAAATTGTAAAAGTTGTGTTTTCAGGACTTCACCCCATGAATGTTTTAAACGGTGTACATGTCCGGGAAGAAAGATGTCTTTTTAATCCCCAAACCAGTTCTATGCTCTTGAGTTTTTTTCCTTCGTATACAGACCTTGTGACTTAGTTGCCTCTTTTCTTTCGTGTATTGTGAAATCCCAAACCGCAGAGAAAATTATGTTCCTTGCCGGTTTTATTCTTAAATGCTTCTGATAAGTTTTCCATATTGTCATAGCTGGAAAACAATCTTTTTGTTTTGATCTTTGTTAAGATAAGATCCAAGTGGTTAAGGCTCTAACCATACATGAGGATAATAGCGTATTTTAAATCTCTGTGAAAAAGAAAAGGAAAATGTATATTGTGTACAGTCCTGTACTCACAGAATAGGAGCAATAACCTCAACTGTGGGGGAAATTAAAGACTTTGGAGACTTTTTTTCATTTTCTCCAAGACGCACTGTAATCTTAAATTGGAAAGGTTAATTTCTACAACAGCTGCAAATGAGTTTCATTTTGAAGCTGCTTCAGATATGCGCTTTTCCAGCGCAGGAATTCCTGGAGTTTCCTGACTCCTTTTCCCAGTTCGAAGTTGTTGTTAGCGCTGGCAAACCAACACCTCATATCAGGACGCTCACTTGACAGTGTCAACGGAGGCAGGAACACCTTCTGGACAGTGTCCCTTGAGGACTGAGCTCAGTAATTGATGGATTTATTTATTTACCATTTGCATCTTAATTCTCTTCCAGCATAATTCCATGAGTATTCCGTAAGGACCTTCCCTTCACAGAGATGTAGAGCACCGTGTGTTGAAGGCACCAGGAGCACTTTCAGCGATTTCAGATAAAAAGGTAATTGTCTCGCCTTTGTTCGGACACATCCAGCTAGAGAGTACTGCATTGAATGGGATGAGGTTGCAGCTGTCCCATCGCTTAGTTCCAGCACTGCATAGTTGTCACTCTTGCTGAATGGTCACTGGGCGCTTGTTGCTTCTTTCGGAGCTGTCAGAGATGTACCATGTTGAGTTATGAGCTTCTCTTTCTAGAAATGGATTTTTAAATGTTTTTTTATCTTTGCAGTACAGAAAGAAAGCTTGAACGTACTCTTGTAACTCCTCGTTCCATGTGAACTGACACACAAAAAGTGTAATGTGTCAACATGCTTATTCATACACAGAGACCTAATAATGGTCTAGGTGGAACACTTTGTGGTTGTGTATAAAAGTATAATGCTAAAAAGTAAACTGTCCTTTTATGTATAGAAGAGGGGTCTCCAGACGTGGTCCTGGAGAGCCCCAGTCTAGCAGGTTTTGGAGGTTACCATTAAGTCAATTTTCTCTGTGATCATTTGCAAACTGATTTGTTAAATTTAGAGATTTTTGTAAAAAATGTAGAGATTATTTGGGATTCAAATCCAAGTACTCCTCATCCATCCAGCACAGTTTACAGGTGTAGGCAAGCTCTAGGGACAGGTTTCCTCAAAGATAACTGGATGGGGTCAGCGGGGACGCTGACCGGAGGTGGTCCTGTTACTGGCTCGCAGCTCCTCGTGGCTCTTACCCAGCAGTGGGGTCCGGTTGGCAGCTGAGGCTCTGAGCTCCTGCTTGTGTGTCCCCAGCTGCTCAGGTAGGAGCATGGTGTTTCTTTGCCACTGAATCCCAGCAGGGGCCGTGACCCTTAAGCTCCCTGCTTTCTCCTCCTTCTGAGTTCTGCTCAGGCCCCGGACAGGGGTTTGAGGTCCAGTTGCCTGCTTGCTCCTCGAATGGAAAATCTAAGTGTTGATACATGTAATTACATGTTAAAAATACATCCATGCAGGGTCTTATGACCACGTCTTAATTTGTTTTTCAGGGTAGGAAAAAAAGCCATGCTTTTTTTTTTACCAACTGATTCGATTCTTCCTGTGCTTTTTTTAATTGTTGTTGTATTGATTTCACAACTTCCTGAGATGTCATTCTGGAAGTGTATCAGAGCTGCTGAGAGGGTTATGCAAGTGCTCATCAGCACATGACTAGAGAGGTCTCTCCATCCAATTACATTTTCCATTTTGTTACATTCAGTTTTCACCCACCTTACTATACAATACACTATCTCTTATAATTTATGTGCACTTTGTCTATAACTGTCAAACCATTCAGTATAAGTATAGCATGTATCTGTGCGTCCGATGCTTGGACAGTATATATACACAGTATGAATGCATGGATAGAAATTTGGCCATTTTAACAGGCAGGTTCAGGTGGTTACTCATGGTCCTTTTTCTAAAGGCTGCTGAGCAGAATAAGTAAACTAATGAGTTTCATGTACACTTGCTAGGTTCGCCCACTTATAAACCATAGCAAGCAGTGTGATGGGCAGTGGTTAAGATCGTCTTTACAGCATTTCACAGATGAGGCTGAGATTAAAATTTGTTTCAGGAACATGGGGCGGCCTTGTAGTAACACCGGTTAGCGGCACTGGCCCACAGACAGCTTCCTCCCCAGCCTCCTTCCGGCTTCTGTGTTCATCATTTCAGGTAAAGGAGGATTACAGTATCTAACCACAGCTGCTGAGAGTGAAGAGGTCACAGCTGCAGGGATAGGCACAGCTTTCTTCAGTTTCACATTGGTTACTTTATGCTAAAACTGTATGCAAATTCGGAGAGCGGTACTTCTGGGTAGTTTATTTAAAGTTTTGAATGTCCAAGAGCAAGCTTTTTGCATCTCGAGCTATTTATTTTCTGAGGTTATTCTCTGCTCAGAGAAGCAACACAAAACCCCTCTGTACTGACAGCATGCTAGTGCCCTCCGTTGTAATATTAAATTGTGAATACCCTGCCTGCTTTCGCTGTGAGATGGGAGGTTTAAAATATTACTGTGAAGACGGTTGCTGTACTGAATTGGAATAGCCCTGTGACGCACAGTTGGCATGTCAGATTCCCAGAAGGTGTGGATGTGTGTGTGTGTGTGTTTGTGAGGGGGGGGCTCTTTGGGACTTCAGGACTTTTAGAACCAGGACCCTCAGTCATTGATGCTGGCAAAGTCCGTTCCAGGAGGTCCACGGGCCTGAAGATTTTAAAGTTATCTTACAAGTGCGCGACTCATCCATCCATCCAAGACATACGTGTGGGTTAATTGTCTTCTGGGAAGATTGGCTCTGGTGTGAATGCGTGTATGTTTGTGTCTGTCTGCCCTGCCATAGACTGGCGTCCTGTCCAGGGTGTACCCTGCCTTGCACCTGTTGCTTGCTGGGATAGGCTCTGGCTTCCCCGTGCCCCTGTATGGATGGATGTACAGTATATATGTTTCTATGTATTATAATCTTATTCTGAGAGTGTTAGTAACCAATTTGTACAAGGTCTACAGAATTCAGAGAAGTTTGACAGCATGTGAGGAATGAACCCTTGAGAAGCAGCACAGTTTTTCCTATAAAAAAGTTCCTATATTCTGAGCGAGAAAACTCAGTTGCTTATACTGTATAATCATGCTTCATTTTGAAAGAACAAAAAAGTCCCTCTTAAGGAAATGCTCATATTTTTCACACAAGAGCCGTGAGCAGGTAGTCCGCTTGCAGGGCGAAGGGTCCGGGCGAAGAGGAGGTGTGTGTGCTGTCGCCACCCTGGAGAGTCTTCCGGAGTGGCTGGAGCTCTCCATGAAGCGTCCATGAAGCAATGTACAGCCACTGCTTCCTCGGCCTGAGTCGCGGCCTGCCGCGGGAGGCAGCGGTGCGCGACAGCGAGGAAGGAACACCGCGCCGCGATGCGCTCTGCTGGGTGCAAACAGCAGAAGTGTTCCTGTCAGGGAGGGCGGGCAGCCGCGGTCGCCCCGAGAAACGCGTTCCGCCCTGCTGCAGCTGGGTCCGAGCAGCGCACGAACAGCCCGGGCGAGGTCCTCCTCCAAAACCAGCCACTTTGGGGCTGATTCTCAGTAGTAATTAGCTGATCCCGCTGGCGGTCTGCGAGGGCCGTGAGGGGCCTGGGGGGCTTCTCTGTTGGCGTGTTCACAGATATGAAGCAGTCAGGGAATCTGCGAGCACCCCTCTACCTGAAAAAGAGTTTTCATCTTGAAAGTTAGCCTAGAAGAGCCTGGTTTGGGGAAGGAAAGGTTACGAACAGTTCTCTCGGAGGCTGTTGAAGATATTTGGTGAGCTTTTCTCTTTTCTTTTTTTTTGAATCCCTATTTAGGAAGAGGTACTGGTAATATTGACTAGACGTGCTTAGATGTTCATTCAATCTAAAAATTTCCTTGACCGTTTTAGACAAAAGTTTCAGAAAGCTTAAGGAGACGAACATATATTGTTACAGACAGTACACATATCTATTTCGAGCTTATTTAAGGGCCTTCATCTGAGGCTTTTCCCACTTGATAAAAGGTGCTTGCTTATGTGTGGCTGTATTGAGTTTTATGCATTGAACTAATCTGATTTGACGAGTTTCAAAACGCCGCTATCGTGCTCATACACAGATAGGCGGGAGCCAGCCTGTAGGCTGTTCTGCCACACAGGCCTGGGGGTGGCTGTTGTGGCGGATGTTGTAAGGGTTTTGAAAGCTGTGTTTTTGAAAGAAAAAGGGGAAGGGAAAGAGAAAGAGTTATTTTAAACCAAGGGCTGGCCCACAGCAGAGCAAAGGAGCGCTGGTGCAAACTGCACGGCACAGATGCCTCCAGACTCCTGGTTCCACTGGTCATGCGCTCACAAACCCCACTTCCGCAGCTCCCCGCACCCACATTTCTGAAGCAAAGGAGCACCCCGGCTGGCTTCATCTCAGTGAACGCTACAGGAAATGCCTGCGTGTTGGGTTTTTTTTAATTTTCGTCTTTGAACTTTTCTAGCACCAGAAAATACCAGTTAAGACCTGGCAGGTTTTTTTTAGTACTCTATCTATACGTGGAGCATATTGATTTATTCATTTACATTTTCCCACTGTCTTTTCATGACGTCTTCAGCAAAAGCTTAAAATGTCAGTTTTCAACAAAACATCAGTTTTGTTCCAGTCATTGATTAGGCTTTGAAATAAATTCTTCGTTAACATTAACTAAAGTTGGTCTTTTTATGGAGGAATGATCATACAGTAATATAGGGGTTTGTTGTTTTTAAAAAGATAACACTCCCATCTGAATCAGATTACCCATTTACTCTGGTGATGTGAATGGGATTCAGCCCTGGCCAGGAGTGAGGAAAAGTCAGTTGCACAACGGTCCCAAAACAGCTCTTGGGAAAAGTTTGGAAATGGGGGATTTCAGAGACACTGTAATTTAGAGGAAAGGCATCATATTCCTCCTTCCAGGATTCTTTTGTCAACTTTCATGAATGTCCATGGTATGCTATTCTGACCCAATCTTATTCTGTGAACCTGCCAATTCTATTATTTTTTCTTGAATCTAGAATCTAGAATTTGCATGTGGTTGATGCACACGCTTGGAAGTGTCTTAGCAGTGACCCCTGACCCCACATGGGGGAGAACGAGGAAGAGCAGACGGGCTCCTCTGGCCTGCCTGTGTGACCGAGCAGTTCATGTTACAAGCTCCACAGTGACAGCAGGGGGGTCAGCGCCCATCAGAGGAGTGGTGTGTCCCTTAGTGGCATCCCTGGTGTTATACAGTACACCTGGGAGTTGCCTGTCTTTTCTTTACCTGTGCACAAAGTATGAAGTCAGAGAGTATATTTTTGGTTATGACTTTGACCTCTTACAGCACTGAAGGGTGACTTATTTTCTTGCCCAATAAGAAAACAATGACAGAACGACCTCTGTAGTTACACCGATGTGTTGCTTGGTAATAACCATTTGACCGCGTTCCCATTTCCCAGTTTGTGTGATTCCAGATTTAGCAGTGTTAGTGCTGGGTGCAAGAAGGAGTTATTCGGAATGTAGCTGTCAGTGGCTATAAAAAGATTCAGCCATCAGAGTGAGACAATGAAGTATCCACTTTAGAACTGCAGACATCTTAGCGTGAAAGGCTGCTGAAGCCTCTAATGTGTTTTGCTACTCTGAACCCTTCAACACCATTATTTTCATGGACAAGCTGTGGAATTCTGTAGTCTTTGTTTCTATAGTTATACTGCTGTGACATCACAGACTGTATACACAAAAGAAGCTCTGTGTAGTCATGTAAAGTATTAATTTTTATGCATTTGTGTGCTTCCTGTTCCTACAAATGCCTGGAATGGCAAGGAAGAGTTTTTTTCTGTTCAACTCAATGAATTGTTTGTTCTATACTGGACACATGTGTTTACTATAAAAGATTAGAGATTACAGCTAATGTACAGTATATGCTGTGCTTTAATAAGAGTTTTTTTGTTTTGTGATTTAGAAACAGAAGGGAGTGAACGATTGTTAATCGGGAAAGCTCCTTTGACAGGAAGACTAATGTTTTCTCGCACACGGCTCACTGGTTCTGTCATTGACTTCAGAGATCAAATCACCCCTTGGTCGAGCTTTATAAATAAACATTTTTGCACGTCAGGGTCTTCGCTATAAGTGGCATCACAGAAATTGCACTGGAGTTGTGCATTATCTATTCTAGACAGCACTGAAGTCATGATAGGGGTGGCCACCCACATAATAAGCAACACATTACGAAACTGCACGCAGAATTGCGATGTTGCATATAGATAAAGAGCACTGATTTCACTGTGTGGATTTTTCACACTGACTCTCTCTCATCTGGCAGTTATTTAAGAGCCTAAAAAAATGAGCCTAAAACATAGTTGTTGTTTTTTTATTAAACAAAAGGTATTGGATGCTTAGGCTGATTAAAGATCCTGTGTTTTGCACTGGAATGCCACATTGTGTACCTCCAGCTTTAATACCATTTTGGTGGTGGCTTTGCAACTCGGTGGTGTCTACCCTTGTTGAACACTTTCTCTTGGCTATTGACACTCCCTGTGTTGCCTGTAGGCCTCATATTATCTTAACCACAGGGATGGTCATGGTAACTGCGTATTGCACACTAGAAAGATCCCAGCTGGGATCCGCAGGAGAATTGCACTCGAACTGTCTTGTTACAGGTGGGAATGGGAAAATGCAGGGTTCAGTGCTTCTGGGGTTTAACGATGTGCACTCTGGGTGAAGTGGACAGAAAACATGGTACAGAGTACCCACACTGCCGGTTCTACAAAGGAAAAAAACAACATTCGTATTGCTGCAATGTCACAGTTTGGAAATCATTTCCTTTTCTGGCAGATTTAGAGCAGATGAAGTTACAACTTCAGCCCCCCCTTCAGCTGCAGAAGTGCAGCCCCAGCTTGCTTGGCGGCAGCTCTCTCTCTCTCGTGTTTACCTGACAGGAAGTCTCCAGGAGTCACCATCCAGGGGTCAGATCAAAGCTGCGGTAAGCCAGGATTTATTCTCACAGACGTCCTGGCTTCCAGAGGCCGTCGATAAAGAGAAAAATACTGGGTGTAACAGCATTTCAAGCTCTCTGAAAAAGCTCTGCATCTGTGTGTTGACCAGGAGGGTCTTGCTTTGGGGTTTTTCGGATCACAAGTGTATTTGTCAACCAGGCACTGTTGGCTTTGGTATATTTGCCTTGCAAATGAAAAGTATCAAGCTTCAGTTAGCATTTCATATTCTTCTTGGTTTTGTGGTGCTTTCATACCTGTACGGCTCAATTAATTAAAAAAATGAAATTCCAGTTTTCCTTGTGCCTGTCCGCAAGACTCATCACTGAGATTGGTGTGCATCTGCTGGAATGGCCATGGTTGAATCTGTTGTTATTCCCATCTGATATCTGAGGGCCAGCCATCAAGGACACAGCTGCACAGTGAGCGTGCACATCCGTGCGCTATGTGCAGTCCTGCCCAACGGCTGGCGACTCACTGTACATCCAGACAAGTGATGCAGCTGAAAACGGACACAAAAGCTCGCTGTGTGTCTGTACCCGGGCTGTGAAATGTGCTCTGTGGGCCGAAGTCCCCTTCACTGGCTTCTCAATAGGAGCTGGTCATCTCTTTGTACCTCTAGACAATAAGCTTGTTGTTGCTGTACCTATGTTACTGTTTCATTTAGGAAGGTTTGAGTCTCCTTCTCCTTTTTTAGTGTTAGGACCCCCTGTCAGCATTTGTGCCAGTGTGCCTTGGCAGCTCTCACAGAAATTAAAATAAACTATTTTGCAGCTGTGTTTTTGTGATAAACATGCAACACTGTCTCTTATAAGATAAATTTAGGGCACTGTGTTGCTTTTGTTTCTGATACTTTTTTCTGGGCTGGAACTGTGCTTTGGGATATATATGCACATATCCAACTCATAAAAAAGTGGTATGTTAGAAATCTTACAGCGGCTATTTTTTTCAATAAAATCCAGAGAAAATCTGAGATTTTGCTGAAGTATGTACTTGTGTTCCATGATTTTAGACCTGAAGCAAGTGTTCCATCTATTTTCTGCACATCAGGTTGTCTTATATCAAATAATATTTATCCTGCAAGTTACTTCAACAGCAGACTTTCTCCCATTCCCCAGTTAGCATTGCAGTTCAGCTAATAATTCTATAATATTGCAGGAACAGTCCTGCAGGTTTTACTGGTAATCTCCAATTAGAAGGTGATCAAGATCTATAGAAAAAACAGGTGATCTGGTTGGTTGTCCTGATTGTTGGTTGAATGAATTAATTGAGCAGATGACTGAAAGGCGGGGGACCTTGTTGTTGTGCTGGTGTCATTATAAAACCAGGCTGAAGACAGACGGGCCGTTTCTCAGTGCTTTTCAGAATCAGTGTAGGCTCCTGAAGGTCTGCGTCTGGGCGAGGGGTCTCTGCTGAATTCGCCGGCTTGAGCCCGTGCAGGGGGGGCACTGTGCTGGTGCTCAGCCGGTGCCGCTGGAGGGGAACCCCCCGAGACACAGGGGACACACTGGGAAGGTGGGGGGATGTCCCGGCCACAGTCACGTGACAGAGCTTGAACACACAACACAACAGCGACGGGCTCGTGACCATCCCATGACTGACAGCACCACTGCTGCTGCTATTTATAACGACAGCGCTAATAACAAAACCAATAGCTGCCTTACCGTATTTGATTAGGAGAGTTTTAAATAACTTATTTCTTGCTCGTAAAAGAGGGATGGTTTTCTAACTAGTTTTCTAACTGTGCCCAGGTGTTCTGAGTATCTCCTTAAGCAGCGTCAGTGCTATTTCCATATACAGTGACTGTGACTGTAGGATATTTCTAGCAATTATACTCTAGTTACTTACTATTATTGTTTTTGTATCAGTTGATGTGCTTTGTTACTTCTTTGATTGTTAAGCTCGGCAATTCTCTGGGCAAAGTGTGTCCAGAGAGTGTGGAGCAGATGGGTTTGTCCAGAGGGAGCGGATTGGAGGGGTGTGTCCAGACAGGATAGAACAAGTGATGTCCAGAGAGGGTGGGCCGGAGGGGTGTTTCCATTTTGTGGGTTGTAGGGGCGTGTCCCTGTATCCCCGGGCCACCATCGTGTGAAGCTGCTTGAATGCAATAGTGATGCTAGTGAGGGAAATTAAGGTGCGCTGCCATGCTGGGGGAGTGAAGTGAAGACATCGAAGGATATGTGGATAGAAATGTCCACTCTTCTAGACCTCGTCTGACAGTGCACTCAGCCATTGTAACGCAATAATGTTCGTCTCTTCCTGCCTCGCAGCGACCCGCACCTGTGACCCCGCCTCCCCCACCGCCCTGCCCCGCCCCGCCATGGCGTCGCGAATCGGGCTGCGCCTGCAGCTGATGAGGGACCAGCTGCAGCAGGAGGAGCAGCGGGAGAAGCAGCAGCAGCAGGCCGCCGCCATGCACTACATGCAGCACCGCATGCCCCTGCCGTCCACGCCCGCCATCAACGCGCCCATGAACTTCCCGGCCCCCATGCAGGTCCCCGTGGAGGTGCTCAAGGTGAGGCCGGTGCCGGGCGCTGCTGGGATTGGCCACTTCCTGTGTGTGTTTGGTCACCGGTGGACATGACTGGCTCCGAGATGGCTCCCCAGTCGCATTGGTTTTGCCTTTTTACTATGGTTTTACCATAGTTGTGCTGCAGTCTCTTCACTCAGTCTCACTACACTGGACCATGGTAATACCATGGTATAGTGTAGTGAACATACCTTACAAATAAGTGTCATGGTACAACATAGTCCAGATGGTAAAGCACAGTAGGAGTCTGAAAAAATGTTAAACGTTTTTCCACCAAAGTATGCTGTAATAAGGGGGCTGCCCTCTGTTTTTACACCAATTATTATTATTATTATTATTATTATTATTATTATTATTATTATTATTGTGGTTGTTGTTCTGTTTTCCTCTCACGTCTGCTTATAAGGGCTCAGCAGGGCTGGTCATTTGCTGAACTGGATCACTTTAATGCCCTTTAAAGGTCTTCAGCTCTTGATGATTTTAAGAGAACTAGAAAATTGGGTGGATGTGAGGACTGGAAGTGGGCACTTGTGTGGCACAGTGGTTAGCATTCCTTGGGGTGCTATCTGCGTGGAGTTTGTGTGTTCTTGTGGGTTTCCTTCATGTTCTCCAATTTCTTCAAACTGCCCAGAGACATACTGGTAGGTTAATTGGCTTCTGGGAAAATCGGCCCTGGTGTGAGCATGTGCACGCTTGTGTTTGTGCCAGTGTGTGCCCTGCGATGGACTGGTGTCCTGTCCATGGTGTACCCTGCCTTGCGCCTGTTGCTTGCTGGAAGAGGCTCTGGCTCCCCTGCGACCCAGAGTTGGATAACAGAGTTAAAAAATGGATGAATTTGACCGCGACAGTTCTTATGCTTGCTGGATATAGAGAGGGACGGATAGAGCTGCAGGTAACAACTTAAAAACCAAAACCAACAAACAAAAAAACGATGGATTTTAAGCTGCCTTGCCCTTTTTGTTTGAAGTAGTCAAGAGAACAGTAAGACCCGAGGGCTTTAACCCCAGCTGAGTTAATTGCCTGGTAGAGATCAGGCAGAGCAGTAGGGCAGAGGTAAGTAAGTAGCCCACGCTGTAAGCTTCAATTAGCCCTGCAGTGTCCATCCAGCCACGCTGAATAATCCCTCACGTGCTGCGGCTGCCGTCCAGTTTAAGAAGACCTGAGAGGGGAGGTCCTGGGTAGGTTGGCACAGACCTGGACTGCGTGCACAGCACACAGCAGCCAGTAACAGGTGGAAGGCAGACAGGACTTGCTCTGGATCACACATAAACCAGACGTAATGGGGTGGAGAGGCAGCCAGGTAAGCGCTGATGTATATTAGAGGGAAATAAATAATCATGCTCCTACATACTGTAGTGTAAGAGTCAGATGCCAGAGTCAGGCATTTTGCCAGCTGCCCGGCAGCTAGAAGCAGAAGCCGAAGCCGCATGTTATCTTATCTTAATTGTGCTTGTGTGTTTGCGTTTGTGCTACCCACACCAGACAAGTCCGATAAAAATAAGAAGGAGCCTATCGCAGGATCCGTCCTGCCATCCTCTCGGCCCAGGCCGCGAGTGACTGACAGGCTGGCAGTTTATCAGCGAAGGGGGGCTCAGAGTATCACAGAGCGCCACAGGGAAAAAAAAGATGCTCCCAGTTATTGATGGAATTGTGCACTTTGGCTTCAAACTGCAATATCTTTCTCCCTGTTTGTGAGTGCCTCTCCATCTACCCGGATAGGCGGTAAATTGGTTGAAAGTCCAGTGATAATTCAGCTTCTGCCCAGTGTAGATGGTGAACTGCCCTGGCATTTCATCCAAAGTGCCCAACTTAGCCTATAGTGTAGGTTAGATCCAAATACTTCAGCAGAAAATAAAGTTTTGATAGGTCCCTTCATTGCTTTGAATGATAAAATGCAGAATGAAAAAAAACCTGCACTGGGGTGACCAAGCCAGCGGCCACAATCCAGCAGGTTTTAAAGGTCACCCTTATCCTTCAGCTCCTAATGACTTGTGACAAATGGGACTTTATGATCAGTTTAGCAGGTTGGTTAAGTCATTTCTGGTCCTGGAAAAGCTACAGGGCATTTTGTGTTTTTTTGCTGCAAAGCGTCTCTGAATGATTTCAGTAGTCAAATTACCTGCTTAACAGGTAAACTGCTCCATGCCTTTAGGTGACGGTGGCTAAGGGGTGTCCAGAAACCAAGGACTTTGGTTAACCATGCATGTACCGTGTCAAATAACATGCATGTATCCTATCCGATAACACGTTTGAGCTGGTCTTCTAGTGTCTTGCCAACAAGAAAAGATGGCTGGAAGGTGTTTTTTCCATTGTTCTAAAATGCTTATCTTGCTTTAAAACCGAGGATGAGCAGGCTATTGCAGGAATTGCTGGTGTGAGCGGTACCTCTCGGTTTGTGAGCCAAGTATAGAAAATGAACTACAAAGAGCTACAGTATGCATGTGACGTTCACCATTCCAGCTCTCCACATTGGTCAGATCCACCTCCGAGAAGTCATTCCTGGATCTTAGCGCTCTTCTCTGATCTCTGTTGGCCAGCCATGTGGCACCTGGTTATGCTTGAGAAGCCATGAGATTTCTACCTATTTCTTTACTTCCCAGCAGTCTGAGTTAGTGCCCATTAAGTTCGGCATGAAGGTGTGCAGAAACTTAGCTGATAAGACAGTGTGCTTTTTAACATTATACTTCTCCTTTCTCCTGAGATGACAGTGATCTGGATTGCATTCATTAGCCTGTAGAAATGACTGGCTTTTCTTTTGCTAAGCCAGTGACTTTTTATTTTGTTTAAGCAAAGTTGTGACAGCTTAGCTTGAATTGAACAGAATGTCCCCGAGGAGGACATTAGAGCTCTGAGACTGCACTGCGCAATGCAAGAATCTGACATGTACATTTCTCGGTGAGCGGAGATGCTTTGAAAACAAAAAGAATTAGGGAAAACGGGAGAAAACTTTTTGCTGGAAAGGAAAAGTTTTTTTTTGTTCGCATTCTTTGAGGGTTATAAGGATTTCAGCAGTATAACAGAAGAAGGGAAGTTCTTGTTAAAAAAAGACACAAGAAAGTTCCCTGAAGTCTGCCTGCCTTTGAAGTGAAAGAATGAGGGCAATCCCCTCTAGCCTTTCACCCGGCACGCGGTGCCTTCAGGATTTGCAGCAAAACTTTCAGAGGGGAACTCAGCCCTCCAGCGTATGGATTTAAGCTCCAGCGTTACGTAATGGCCTGGGTCTGTGCCTAGAACTGAGCAGGCACATCTGAGCAAGCTTCTCTGTGTGGTCTTGATCACTTCCCCTTCCAGAAAGGCCATTGAACCCTGATGAGGGACCAGGCTGGGGCTTGGGGGGCCTTTGACCTGAGTGGGAGCGAGCCACAGTGACAACCACAACACACGTGCATATCTTGGTTCCAAAATACAGCGTAAACCCTTTGCACTGGCATCTTATGTACAGAAGTGAAACTCTCCCCAGAACCAATTTTGTCTAGTAGTCTGGAGTTGGTTTGTGTTGACTCATCATTGTACTCTTCCAGACAATGGGGAGAAGTGGCTAAAAAGCCAGAGTATGTAGTAAAAAGGGGCAGAACGTACTGAAATTCCAAGTTGGTGTTGACTGTACACAATTTCTGTCTTTCTTTTACTTATTTAGTAAAATAAGTTTTACCTTGACACAAGCAGTAGCGTCAGGAATCAGCCTCTGATTCCTCATCTGTAGAGGCTAGCAAGACATGGACCAATCCTAAAGCGAGTGGACCACTCTTTTCTCGGGAGGTGAAAGCCAGGAGGTTGTTGAGTAGGGCATGTGACACATATTGGTTAAGTCTGGTGATTCCCATTCTTGAGCCCAGGTGGAGTCTGCATTGAAGTCTTGTTGGGGAGGGTTTTTTCAGATTGGCTTTCTTGAAAGCATGACAGGCTTTTGGTGGATGTAACCGGTTAGACGCAGTGTGCTTGTGCACAGTTGTGGTGGCTGTGCTACAGAAAGGAAAAGGCTTAGAAAGGTTACATAAAAATATTTAGAGTATTCAAAATATTTGGAAAAATATTCTTAAAGGTACTGACAAATCAACCCAGTGGATTACTCTATACTCAATACCAAGACAGTAACACAAAGGCAGAACGTAAGTTACAATTCAGGGCCGACAAAAGGTGGCAGTCCTTTACACAAAGGTTAGTGGGAGACCAGGACAGCTGCCCACCCGTGCAGTTGGACCTGATAGTCTGGGAAACTTCAGGAACAGGCTGGATGGCAGCCTTGGATCATTAAGACAATGGTGAGAAACATGGGCTCCTGTTGTTTTTACTGTTGTTGTGTTTCTCTTTGCTGTCGAATTTTAACTGCTAACCCGATGGTGAAAGGAGGAGTATGTGTGTACATATGATGATCATGGAAAGTTGTGCAAGTTCAAACAAAGATTTTCATATAATGTTTAATAGTAAAGTAGAATTTGACGTCACAAGACAATTGAAAGCGAAACTTGATTCCTGTTGTCTTGTGAATTGATCTTGACATTCAAAAGACGATCCACAGTCCCGAAGTGCCATGGCATGAAAGGCACTATATGAACACTCATGAAGTTCTTTGTTTGTGCTCCGCAGGTGCAGACACATCTGGAAAACCCCACCAAGTACCACATCCAGCAATCCCAGCGGCAGCAGGTGAAACAGTACCTGTCCACCACCTATGCTACCAAGCAGGCAGTGAGCGCAGTGACAGGGGCTCCGAACTTACCCCCCACACCTGGGGCCCCCGCTCAGCTCATCACCCCCTCCACAGGAAACAGTGCCCCCAACAGCCCCATGGCCATGCTGAACATCAGCGCCAGCCATGAGAAAGAGGTACCTGTTGCTCACTTTGGGGTAAGAACTAACTCTTTAAAGCTATGGTTTTTGACAACAGGAGCACTCCTGGTGAAATTAGACTGCTGAGATTGTTAGGGTTTTTTTGTGCTAACATTCTGTTATTTAGCTGCCTGTCTTTCTTTTTTGTTATTTTCTGTAATTTATTACATTTTGGCATTCACATTATCACAAAATATGCTGGAAAAGCTGGAGTCAAAATAAGGACATTCATCAAAAAATAAGCTAAAAGTTTTTACTGAAGAAGAATTTTGAACTGGGATAGGCTCTGGGTTGCTGTGAAATTTAATAAGAATAAGGGGGTTTAAAATGAGTAGCTGTGAGCAAGTAAAAGCAGAACACATTTTGCACTTGAGGAAAATGCTTGAAAAGCCGTTCTGTCAATCTGAGAAATGTTGACTTTTGAGTCAGAAACTCAAGTGGTCCACAGAGAAACATAAAGTAGATCTCCCTCTGAATCGCTGAATAAAACAAATCATTGCACCAGTCATCTCTGTCTCTAAAGCCCCAGGGTACAAATATTTCTTCCAAAAATTGCTTTTCCAGAGAACCAAACAGTCCTTGAACCGTTGCTTTGCTGAAAGTGGATGCGTTTTTTATGTTGTTGTTGAGCTGTTTCGTACAGCAAAGATAATAAGGGCTAAAAAGTGCCTTAAGGTCAAAGTGTTAACTTCACTCTCATTGCTGTTTAACGGTGCAATTACTGCAGTGGGGCTGTAATTACAGTTTAAACAAAGTTATAGTACACCTAAACTGCATTAAAGAGTCAATTTCGTCAACACCACCACATAGACTTTGGTCCCTTCTAGATTCATTTACGACCATGTCACTGGTGCTGTCATTGATTTTGGTGAACAATGTGCGTGTGTCTGTGTGGCTCCTCTCCTGCTATGTGTAGTTATTTTTAATGAAAGAACTTGAGGTGTTTTAGGAGAGTTATATCTGAGTTTTTTATATCAAGGCATGAAATAACCTTAAACTTGACTTGGCTGAGGCATCTGTGTGGCGTCAACCAAGAACGTCACAGAAGCCTGCCTGCCACTTTGTAGTGGTCAGTTTTTTTGCTGTGGTCAGATATGAAGACGCACAGAGTTAAAATGCATTCTACCCTCATAAGGCAACAAAAGAATCAATAGTAGCCCTTGTTTGTTTGTCTGGCTTCCAGATGGTGTGGGTTTGGGTCTTTTTATCTCCTAGCAACACTAAATCTGGCTCCTCTGTCTGTGCAGCTGGATGAAGTCATCGATGACATCATCAGCATGGAGTCCAGCTATAATGATGACATACAAGCCTACACTGACCCTGTGATTCAGATGCCAAACACAGTAAGTGGCACTCAGAATCGCTGTGCACAATTCTTTATTGTGTGTTTTATATCTGATATGTTGTTTTTTAGATAGATCCAATTACTGAAATTAGTTCATCAGGTTTTGTTGAAGTCGCTTTTTACAGTATGTGCATTTTAGGTTGCTATTCTGTTTGAAACTCCAGTTTACAAATAGAGAATCATCTCCTTCTCTTAAAATATTTTTGCCTTAAAATATGATACTGTATATACAGTACTGTACTTTTTTACTGTGCTGGCCATTCTGGCACTTTACATATACTTTGAAAAAAAATGTTATTTTTGAAAGAGGCAGAACTTTTGTTTCACAACATGGTCATGTTTAGAACTGAAGCAATTTGTATAACAGCTGCCACTAATTGGTAAATGATCGTTTGCCGAAATAGACAATCTTTAGATTTACCAATTCTGTCTGTGTCTGAATGCATGTTTGCTTTTTTTCTACATAACCTGCAGTGACCTTTTAAAAGTGTATTGCAAAGACAGGCTAGTTTGGTGAGGAAGTAATTAAAATAAGGATAACAATAAGTTTAGAAAAATGTTAAAGTGAGAAAAGAAAACTGTGTTAGAACTCTTTTAGACTGTCGGTACTTTGCTCTGTGCTGCTTTAAAGTGGCTGTTTGAAATTAACAATTAAACCAATGCCAGTTAGAGTTAAACTTGTTTACAAGACAAGACGTTTGGAGGGACACTTGGCCACAGGAGAAAACAGGCTGAAAGTCCAAAGAGGCGAAAGTTCAGTTCTCTTAGCTGCTGAGGAGGATAGAAGAGCCTGTGTTTGAGACTATCTGGGATTATTCTGGCTTGGGACTGGGGCTCGTGGCTGAGTCATCAGGCAGGTCCTCCGCAATGAAGGTGAAAGGCAAAAGCTATGCCATTGTGGAGGTGATTGATGGGCAGAAGATACAGCTGGTAAGAGAACAGCAGGAGAGGTGCATGTTCCTGGCAAGGGGTATGGCATACGACTGATTGGAAGTGATTTTAGAGAATGTGTTAGCCACCATGTCTCTACAGGAATTAAAGGTTCAGGACATTGCCTACAGTCTGTGACCTGTAGGCAGTAACTCAGTAAAAGGGAAGGACCCATCCAGAAGTTCAGTGTTCCATTTTTGTGGCAGTGTTTTCTTAATGTTTGCTGTTTTTTTACCCCCCCTTGCACTGTTTGCCTCGGTTTGTCATGAGTTTCCACACAGTTCATCTCTGCTGTGCATGGCCAAGTTTCTGCTGCATGTTCTTCTGCTTTTAGTAGCGCTGTACCTCAGTGTAAATCTCTGCTTGAATGAGGCTAGTCATGACTATTATAGAAACAGTCCACAACATGATAATGTGACAGGCATGAAAACTGTCTAGAAAATAAAAGGTCACTTTAAACATACCAGGGCATGGCGGTGCAGTGGTTAGCTTGGCTGCCCAGCAGCGCTGGGGTCCTGGGTTCAGTTCCTGGGGCACTACTGTGTCTGCCAGGAAACTGGCCCTGGTGTGAGTGTGTACTGTATGTGGGTGTGTTTGTGTCTGTGTGCCCTGCGATGGACTGGCATTCTCAGGGTGTATCTCATCTTGTCTCTGTTGCTTGCCGGGATAGGGCAACCCTGTATGAGATAAGATGGTTAGAAAATGGATGGGTGGGTGGATGTACAGTATAAACATACCAGAATCACTGTTACTTAGATCCATCTGCAGAAGGTCCTTGCCAGCTCTGACATTGTTGTCTTTTTCCTTCATTTCCTTCTTCTCCCTACCTGGAGTTTTGCTCTTAGCTTTCGGCTGAAGCTGTGGCTCATTGTGAACTGTCACCCAGGGTCCTCACTGCTGCTGCTCTCGTTAAGCCCCTCAGTGCACAGGATGCCTTGGCCCAGGAGAGGCCGGGTGCAGGACCTCCCATGTGTCTGAATGGGAAAATGCGGCTCTTTCCCAGCGACATGCCTCTTGTCCTTTAAAATATCACGGCCTCTGCTTTTGGATCCTGAAGGGATCTAATGAACAGAGTTTCCAGAAGTAGCTGTTTGTTTTGTCGTGTTGTTTCAGACACAATACACAGTACAGAGATCAGTCTTATTATTGATCTGTTTCATTATTGATCAGCCTTGTGTACATTACATTCTTTCTGCTGAGCTAGGACTTCATTAGATTAATTGCTTTTTGCTATAAAACACTGCATTTAAACATATGTGATTCATTAGTTTTATTTTTCAAATGAAGATTGTATGCAGTGTGCTAATATACAGCACATTGTGCTTTAAAAACAATCATAGATGCTTAGTGAAATACAGTCTAAGGTTTACCAGCAAAACATTAAAGCATTTAAGACAGCAAACTGCAATTTGTTTTACGAATTCCCATTATTGAAAGGTTAGTTTGACAAAATAGGTTTTTCAGATTACACGAATAAATACAAAGAGGATTGGCTAGAATAGAGCTGTCCTAAGAAAAGGGGACTCAATCAGTAAAATCCCTTTGTTTATCCAGTTGTTTATGTGTATTAAATCCTGCTAATACTCTTTAATCCTTCGAGGGTTAACAATGCACATCAGAGGAAGAGGTGGAATCAATCCAGTGTGCTGCATTCCAGCAGGCTGACACCCTGAGCAGGTTAACACATTGCAGCACGTTGTGGTGGGCAGCTGGAGTTTTTTCAACGCCGAATTGAGCGAAGGTGTAGATTTAACTGCATTTGCGGTGACGCCATGCCGGCTGTAGCCTATCCCTTTATGGAAACTTTGAAACACGGGGGGGCAGAAACCCTGATTACTACAGAAGCGCATTGCTGCAATCAAGGAAAAAAATATTTCATGTGGTATCTCATAATTACGAAACAGTATATTATATCGTAATTACTAGATAGTAAATTATTGTGTCATTACAAGATACCGATGGTCATTTGAGTATATGCACAACCTCTTAAATGGTGCAATGACAGCACCTAGAAGCTTCTGAGAGCTCAGCTGGAAGTTTGGGTTTAGTGTTCCTGACAGTGTCCAGCGCTGCAGAATGTGTATGGACTTAATTTCGACTGGGGGTTATTCATAATGAAATGTAGCACTTTGAACCTAATGTGAACACAATCGTTAAAACCCTGAGGACCCTCACACTTATCCTTAAACAAGAAAGAGTGTACCTTGCAATTGATTGCAATGCTGAAAACTAATGATAATGTAAGTATTATATGGCTATTGTGCTATCATGTTATTATCACATAAAATACGTGATAATGTACTATCTTGTAATGATGAGATCATTTTACGAGATAACACAACATATTTCTTTCCTTGATGGCAGCAATAAGCTTCAAAATATTATCTTTTGTTTTGTGACTTTGGAACCTGTGCTTACATTGCTGTCCTTAATCATAGAGTGCTGCTACATGTATCTAATCATTACTTTAGAGATGCCTCATTAACAACCAGCAATGAAGCACTTTCCTGTTCCTAGTTAAGCAAAGGGTTAAAGCAGACGAAAGCCTAAAGACTATTTTTAAAAGTCCGTGTTAGAGTTTTCCTCACTGTACTAACAAGCTCTCATTGTTGCACAGTGGTGACTTTACTGAAATTAACCCTCAGACTGGTAAACAGATGTTTCGGCAAATGAGGGCCCATTGTGTTCACAGATGAATCATCACCCTCAGATTGCATAATAACCCCATTCCTCGCAGAGAATGAACACTACCAATTACCAGGAACGCACAGAGAAGCGAGCTTTAACAGCTGGGGAAGAGCCAGCACAAACTCTGTCATGGGAAAGATAAGGGTTGTCTGTGGTGCCTCTTTTAAATCTAATAGTTCATCTTCATCTTTTGTCAGTCATTAGATTACTCCCAGTTTCACGATCACTGCCAACTTGCATGTCTGTCTTATAAATTGTATGAAGGATATATACTGTAGGAAAAATATCTATTCTATTCTAGTCTTCTACATATCTCACTAAATTGTTTTACTGTAGCTGTTGGTGCTGGTACATACTGCTATAGTACTGCATCTGGGATAAATATGTAAGGATTGACAATTGAAATTTTTTTACTATTTTAATTTCTTTTTAGAAGGTTGAACGATTATCTGTCACTAGATAGCAAAATGTCTCTTGAAGCCTTTTATGTTTCTGAAAGGTCTAGGTACAGCGACATTTAATTTTCAGGAAAGTAAAGGATACAGACAGAAGAAAGCGATAAGAAGATGATAAATGAGAGAATTCCTGATAGTCAATCATTACTTTCTCCTGAAGTTCAGCATTTATATTTTATCTATGTCTTATCTCAAGTCTTTATCTCTGGTTTATGACTTCACACTGACAGCTTAGAGATTATAGATCAAATCTTGAGGTTGCTGGGTTATATCTGTGAAAGCTGATTTTCTAGGGTTACGCATCTCCCCAAAACGTATTAGAAACGGGGGGAGGCTAAATTCTAGGGGAGCTGATGAACCTCTCCTGTTATCAGTCTCTTTGCAATCTGTCATTTTTGTGTGGTGTTCAAGCTCATCATAGAAACAATTTGGAAAGGCACAACCTAAAACCTGTCATTGAGAAACCTGAAGGGTGTTGTACTTCATTCACTTACTCACTATAATTCTTTTTTTGTGTCTTTTTTTATTTAAGCTGCCCCTGTCCAGTAGCCATTTAGAAGGATACTCTGGCCCAGGTATTGCTGGGCCAGCTATTGCCATGACCAGCAACTCCTGCCCAGCCAACCTGACCATCAAAAGGGAAATGTCAGGTAAGCACAATCACTGCTGAGAGCGCTGAGCCTGGACAGTGGGCAGTGCTGGAGGAAGAGAGCGCAGTGGCCCCCTGCTGAAGATTGACTGTTATTCCAGTAGGAACGTGTCGTTAGGGACGTCAGGAGATCCTACAGAAGGCTCTCCCTTCTCCTTTGCTTTGTATGTGTGTTTTTGGAGGGGTGTGTTCTATAGTAGAGAAGCTGATTGTTTTTTGCAATTTTGTGAATTACTTTCTGTTTTTGCTTCTGGTTTTATGAAAGTGTTTGATTAGAAAATGTAGAGTAAGTCTTTGCAGCAGGTCTTTTGAAGGTTGTGTCATTTATTTTTACCGTATAAATATTATAAAAATATATAAAATTAATCTTATAACTTTTTCAAAAAGGTGTTTGTGTGTATATGCATTATTTATGTGACACACATACACATTTTAGAAGTGGTTTTAAGATGTTGACATTGAGGGAAAGACGTTAACTTGGATTGGTATGAGCAGTACAGATGGGTGTTGATAGAGTGGGACTGTACAGATGTTGATGGAGAGGGATTATACAGATGTAGACTGGTAGGGACTATACAGATATTGACAGATTGGCACTATACAGATGTAGACTGGTAGGGACTATACAGATGTTGATGGAGAGGAGTACAGGACCCCAAGGACTGACTGAATTTGTCTTTTGTTAAGATGCAGAGGTCCATGCTCTGGCCAAGGAGAGGCAGAAGAAAGACAATCACAACCTGAGTGAGTCTCTTTACGATCTTCCAGACAGTTTAAAGTACAGCTATGGGGAAGGAATCAACAGTGTCATTTAACCCCAATCCCCTTAAATATTTAACTGACAGTATATAGCACTTTGGTGTATAGTTAACCTGCAGGGTTTTGCAAGAACTGCAAAAAATTAAATTACCTACAGCATTTCTCAGATGCAGAAACAACACTCTAAAGAATGTCACTGACATCTGGAAGGGATCCAGAGATTTCCAAGGTGGCATTTTCCAAAACCAGTCATTGTTGAATGTTTACACATGCAGTTGTAGTTAAATATCCCTGCAATTAGGCCGTTAAACATGGGCTGAATTGCGCTAAACACTGTGCACTGCAATTATCATCGTACAGAGCCAGGATAAACAGCCTTTTAAAACATGTTAATGCATAGAGACCTCAGTTTTATATTCTTTCACTAGATATTAGTGCTTGCAGAGAGCTCTCTGTTTCAGCCATGGGAATGGAATGGATAAGGAGATCAGTAGTAGTTGGGGGATGTAAAAAACAGTAATTTGGTTTGTCTTTGTCCTATATGCTGAACACTCAAATATCTTTTCTTCTCCCACTCCCAACTGTCTTTCACCATCTCTGATGCCCACGCCAGTTGAGAGAAGACGCAGATTTAATATCAATGATAGGATCAAGGAGTTGGGCACCATGATTCCCAAGACCAACGACCTGTAAGTAGCCGTGTCTGTGTGTGGGAGTGCATGTGAGTGTGTCTATCTGCACGCGTGAGTGTGGACATGTGTGTGCAAGAGCCTAAATGTGTATGACGGACATGCTGGCGCTTGGTCTCCTTGTTCCTCATTCCTTGTTCCACCAGTAGAACTAGTGCTGGTCTTGATTTAACTGAAGAGTTCCTGTTAAAGCAGTACACAGTTGTGCACTGCAGTCAGTCCCAGTGCGTGTGCAGGCCTGGGGCTTCACTGGCCAAGGTTAGGGTTTGTAGGACCTCTTCAGTTCTTTATTAACTCACCTGCAGGAAGACAGGACTAGATCTTGGACATGGCGCTGACGACGTGGCGCTGCGTGTGTGCTGAGGGTGTGAATTTCTGGGGGGTGCACCGTGTGTATGTGTATGCAGTGCCCATGGGAAAGAGACTGGCAGGCAGTGCTTTGATGCCTCTCTCCCCACCAGGGACATTCGCTGGAACAAGGGAACCATCCTCAAAGCCTCGGTGGAGTACATCAAGAAGATGCAGAAGGATGTGCAGAGGTCACGGGAGGTGGAAAACAACTTCAGGAGGATGGAGATGGCCAACAAGCAGCTCCTGCTGCGCATCCAGGTTGGATCTGAAATCCTGAAATTGAATCCCAGTGAGGCTGTGGCTGAACCAGGCAGAGGATCAGAGCTTTAGACTGGGGGTCTCAAACCCAGGTCCTGGAGGGCCGCGGTGTCTTCTAGCTTCTGTTCCAGCCACGTTCGGAGTTAGATAGCGGGTCTAGGCGGAAATTTGTCAATCAAAACTGATTCCCATAAGATTTAATGTAAATCCCTCTGATTGGTTCCCAAATTCTAGAAAAATCCAACAGCAATTTTCCTACAGTAGGATGTCCAACAATGATGGCGTGCTTTGTTATAGCAAAAACTCAGAAACTGATTGTAAATGTAGGGAAGTCTTCTAACCAGGATCTGAGGTGCAAAGCAACTATAACTTTAATAGAGAGAATACCCTGTGTAATTAACTTTAAAGACATTTTAAGATAAATCCTATATATTGTATGTCTGATTTAGAACATAATGAGGATGATTGTTTTATTGACAACATTGGTTGGAACAAAAGGCAGAATATTCCAGGCTCTCCAAGACCTGGCCTGAGACCCCTGAGTTAGACCTGGGTCAGACTCACCTCTAGAAGGGCAATGAAGGTTTCTGTGCGTTTCAAAATGACAACTTTGCAATTTTGCATGAAATTACATGGATATGAAAATTCTGCAAAGCAGAGCAGATTAATTTGATGCGTGCTCAAAAGAGGACGATGAGGAACAGAACCCATGGACCACTGCAGAGCACGGTACTCTGGTGTGATAGCTAGATTCCACTCTGGGCTTGTGCAGTCTGCCCACCCTAAAGACCTCCCATAGTTCATTGCTGAAGTGTCGTTCTCCCCCGACAGTGGGGCTGCTGGTGCAGAATGGCTGCCGCATGTCACCTCTATGGTAGCTGCACTTGAATAATGGGTGAAGAGCTGTATTAATGCAATTAATTATAGTTAATTACACACAAGAGGTCACCATATCTTCACAGTGTCCTTGATGACTTTCACGTGTATCCTGTGCAGGACACTAGAGGTCTGCACTGTGACTGTCATGTTCCCGTGATCCCATCCATACAAGCCCCACATTTTCGTGCTTCTCACTACACGGTTTCATGAATAATACATGAATTATTCATGAATCATAACCCTAATCCATAGAAATAATGAACTATCCGACACTTGCTCAAATCAACTTACTAGGGCTAGGGTGAACTACGCATTGACACTGGCAGAGACGGACAGCAGATTCTCAAGGACAGAGGACATGAAAGTGCAGTATCTTGCACAGGGAGACAAAGTAAGGCAGTAGCCTCCCAAGAAAACTTATCGCTGGCAAAGACAAACCTGCTGATGATTTCATGTAGGGTGCAGGGGCTGGGCAAGCATGCATGCTCTCTCGTGTTTTTTTAATTTGGTCACAAGAGGCCTTTGTTTCCCAAACTGTTTTTGCTAGGAGCTGGAGATGCAAGCGAAAATTCACGGGCTCCCCTGCAGCTCCCCGTCGGGGATGGGCAACACGGAGATGCTGAGCTCCTTCGTGAGGCTGGAGAGCAGCCCAGAGGAGAAGGCCTCGGCCGAGCCCCTGCGCCAGCCAGCGCAGCTGCCGCAGCCGCCGCAGTTCTCGCACCACCAGCATGCGCATCACCAGCAGGCGCAGCCGCAGCCGCCGCAGCTGCCGCAGCCGCCGCAGCCGCCGCAGCAGCCCATACAGTACGGGTCAGTGGGGAGCTCCCAGCAGCTGGACTTTGCACAGACACTGGACTTGTGTGACAATGCGGCTGGCTATCAGGACCCGCTGTCCCAGCTCACCGACCTCTCCTTCACCTCCCCCTCCAGCAGGAAGGGGCTGGGCTTCATGGATGAAATACTCTCCCCTCTCGGAGGGGACCCCCTGCTCTCCGCCATGTCCCCCGAAGCCTCGGTCGACAGCAGCCGGCGCAGCAGCTTCAGCATGGAGGACACAGAAATGCTGTGACCCCCACCCCTCCCCCTCGCTGTCACCTGCCCTCACCCCCGCCTGCCCCGGTCCCCTCCCTCAAGCCCTCTCACACTCAACACACTCACACACATCGTGCTCATGGCCGCGCGGCCACCCGGCGCCGACACGCCGCTGCGCCGTTCTGGAAACGATGTCGGGGGAGTGGGGGGAGTTGAGTCCGGCCGGCTTGCAGGAACCGATCCGCGTTCCTTTCGAGACAGGAAGCGGGTCCCCGTTGCACATCGGTCGGGCTCTGTCCCCCGTTTCTTTCCTTTTTTCTCTGCGCCGAAACACTGGCCAGTCTCGGTTTCCTCTGCAGGACGGTAGCACCTTTCTGCACTGCCAAGAAGCAGGAGGATCTTAGAGCAGCCCAAGGAACCCTGCTTAAGCAGAGGCAGTGCCAAGCCCTGAAATCCTTTCCTTGCGAGACAGCTAGGCAGAGCTCCACAGCGGAGCTTGAACAAGCTGAGGCCAAGTCAGTATTGTACGTTTGCAAAACTCAACGGGCAGTCCTCAGGAAGTGGCTTGGGGAAAATAGGGTTTTTTCTTGCGGAAAAACTTGTTGTGCAAATTGCTACAAGATTTTGAGATTTCTCGGTGGTGAACGCACCAGGGCAAAACATCTAGGTAGGCCGCTTTAGCGTGGCAAACCCCGCTAAAAACTCTCGGGATTGCAGAGACAGGCGTTCAACGTTACGAAAGGGATCGGTCTTCTTAGGACTAACCTGCAGCAGCACCGTGCAGGAAACCTGCTGTTCTGGGGGCTGCTGTGGGCTGGCTGCTCTTATGCTGCAGACGTCGGAGGGCAGCGTCTGAGCAGCGCAAACCTACTGCACATCACACCCACCTGGCAGTGAGTGAGTGGAGCTGTGACCCCTGTAGTTGTTTTATATTTGAACTTGAGAAAAATGAAAAGTGATTTCTTCTGTTGTTGTTGCTGTTGTTCTTATTGTTGTTTTATATAAAGTTGTTCTCCTCCCAAAGCACTGAAAACCTATTTTATTTTGTGGACTTTATACAAGAATGTGTTTTTTTTTAATTAGACTTTTTGGTAAAGTGTTTTTAATTCAAAAAGAAGAAAACTGTGGACTTCTGAGTGCCGTTATGCCACTCAGGTATATTTTATATTATCTTATCTGATCCCAAAGCGACCTTTTTGCCTTGTAATGTCATTTGAAAATATTTCTGCCTGTCTGTCTAATATCTGGGGGGGTGGTGGAGCCGAGTTCTTTTGTCAGTTCAGGAATGTTGTCCTCATCTGATTTAAGAAAATTAAAACTGTATTCTTTTTACTGTTACTATTGCAATTTTATAATGGTTGATTTTTTTAAGGAAATATTGATATTTAAATGATAATTAGATTAAAGGCGATTCTTTTACCTTACTCTATTTTAATGAGCTTTGTGAATTTCAGCTAATGCAAACGAAAAGCGAGATGATTGTCTATGTGAAGCACACAGGGAGTACTTCATTGTTGTACAGCTGGGTGCTGAGGATTGGGGAGACGTGTGCTGAATTTAGTAGATTCCCCAGAAAGAGTTCCTAGTGCAAGGTTGTGGAAAAGTATAGAAGCAGGATGAAAGAATGCAGAATGTAAGTCATCCGGTTGAAAAAAAAAAGACTTTTTTCAACATGCCTTGTCTTGTACAGAGTGGATTTTATTTGCCAGCGGTCTTGCCTTCCCAGATGAGGATCTGGTGTTGCCGTTTCCCCATAATTAGTTTGCGATTCTACTTGAAATCGGGCACCCTGTCTTGTATGGGATGTCCGATCGTTTGCTCTTGAAAGCCTTAAGCTCTCACAAACAGTTGTGTCACAGATATCAACCTAAGAAAAGTCTCTCAGCCTGTGTGTGAAGAAGCTCAGAAGAAACAAGAAAGTGAGGTTAGGCTCTGATTCCTGCCTGGGAGCTGTTCTCCCTTTGCGACAAGCTCAAGGAGAAGCAGGGCTGGCGTAGAAGGAACGGCTTCTCGTTTTCTTTTCACGAGCTTTTGGAATCTTGCTGCTGTGTGAATTTGTATTGGCATTTGTCCTGGTGCAGGAGGCGCCGCGCTTGGGTCTAGATACTGCTTCGCTGGCGACGCATAAACCACGAGCGCATCGGTTTGAACGTGACTGTGCTTCTTGTAAACGGGCGCAGTCCCTTCCTGGTGAGGCGCTGGTCCAGCTGTCCCGTTCAGAGGCAGCAGGTTCCGGGACAGGCTGGGCCCCAGCGAGCTGCGTCGCTCCTCCGGCTGACTCGGTCTCTCCCGGCGGAGCTCTGGAGCCCCCGGTGTGAGTCCTGGCGGCCGGAGTGCAGGTTTCAGTGGAGAGAGTGCCTGGGCTTCCATTCCACGCTGCCCCTCCCATGTTTCATACAGTAGCAGCAACCACAGGCTGATATATATATATATTACTGATTTCAAAACTGGTTGCTATGTTAAAGAAAACTCAGTTCTGGGTTAATGGGGAGAGGAATGTGCTTGAGCTGTTGTTCATACCATATCTTGAGCTGTTTTCCTTTCTGTGTCTCTATTATTCACTCAAAGGGTCACTCCTACAACAATGTTCTTTATAACATACAGCCCTGTGAATTACTCCAGAACCTTGTGAAAAAAAAATCTCAGGTAGCTACTGTGATTGTGATTAGTTGTGACACCAGTGTTCCACAAGGGGGCGCCATTTCCCCCTACATGAAAAGCAACTCATGTGTGACGACGTGTGGAGGAGACACATGAATACATCCCAGCGTTTCATTAACTTGTGTTTCTGTGTAGGTGCCGTGATTATGATTAAGATAAATATGCGAGCTGCTTGTTGCCAATGATGCTGTAATATAGCTTTATTCACTTTATTCTGGCGTTGATCGGTCTGCACTCTGGCTGCTGGAATCTTGTAATCTGTTCAAATTAAAACATTGCACTGCCTTTTGTGGAAAGAAAATCTATTTTGAACCAACAGTACTGCACTCCCATGACCACAGCGTTTACCAAAATCACACCAACTGACATTTTAAAGATGTTTTTAAAAATGAATCAAAAAAATACTTTTAATGAAAATGTCAGCTCTGGCTCATCTTTATTTCATTAGCTGCATTCCGAGAACCGTCCTGTCTGAATTGTTTCTCTGCAAAGGAATAGGTCATAGTTAAAGGAATCTTAATGCATGCAGTGTGGATTCAGTTTTGTATCTTTTTATGTGAGGTTTGCCCCATATAGGCTGACAGGCTCTCAGCTTGTTTGTCCTCAAGCCTGTCAAGGGAATGAATTGGTCTGGGATCGACTTGACTGGGCCACAAGGTCAGTCATGGTGCGTAACCTGCGAGGCCAACCCAGACACTGCGGACAGTGACCCCTACAGATCAAACCCGGTGCTGGGCTCTGTAGTGGGGTTTTCTCCTGCCTTTATCTCCCTTTTGCTAAATTTTCCCCCATTTTACTGGCATTTTAAGTAATGGTGTTGGTAAATTGAAGGTCCCTGCAAAAACTCGGGGTGCATTTCAAAGCTTGGGGGTGGAGGAGGGGGTGGGTCGAATGTAGACTGTGGGGATTCTCTTCCGCTACACGAGTGGGCGCCCCCCCTCTCCAGTGATTCCCCTGCCTGTTCAAAGTGCACCATGCAAATGCAGAAAGAGCAGAAATACCAGATGCTTCTCAGTCACCATTTCTGATTGTCACACACATCACCCCATAACTTATTTGGGGTCATTCAGAATCGGAGATAGCGGAAAAACACAACACATGGAAAAAGTTTTGAAAAGTCAAATTAGCTTCATAAGTCTCAAAAAAAGTTTTCCCCTAACAAATGACTAAATGAAGGTACTGCTGATGTCAGTGGGGATGTTTAATTGCTGTCAAGAAACTGCAAAGTGTACAGCTGGTTATATGAACGTGAACCAGTGTGTCACAATTCTATACGGCTGGTAGATTTATTGTACAAAATGTATTTATGTAAAATCTGATATTTATTTTTCTTAATTTATATGAAATATATTTTCTTTCTGGCAGAAAAAAAAGCTGTAACATCCAATAAATTATGCCATTCTCCCATGAGTAAAAGCTCACTTTCTTGGGTGTACTTTTTAGCTCATTTGATTCAGGAATGACCACAGATGCTATTGAACTCAGTCAGTTTATTTGCTAGGGGTTGGGATTTTCAGGTGTCTTTGGGAAGATGGGAGGGGGCCTCACAGGACAGTTATTTGGCATCTTTACCAGCTTCTAAAGACTTTGGTAGCCGGTGAAATGATGAAACTTCAGATTGGATGAGAACCACTGCTGTGAATGACCAGTGTTGCTCCAGTTCGATGCTCCTATTCTGTGAGGTTTGCTGTTTTCATAGGCTCGCTGTATGATGCCCACAGGCTAAACTTGAACTCTACTGATTCAGGGGAATAAATGGACATGAAAGATTATGAAGACAAAATGCATACTCACTTTATATAATAACTGTGTACTGTGTGTATCCCTAAATCCTCTTTTCGTTAACAATAACAAGTAAAAATACCTTTTTTTGACATTCTGATACCTTACAAGAGAATCATTTTTCTGATTTCTAAAGAGCAGCTTCAGGTGTGATGACCTGTGGTCCAGAATCCATTCTGCTAACGCACGATCGGAAGTGACGCAAACGTCTTCGACTGAAAAGCACTGTGATGAGCAGTCCTTTAGAGGGGCTCGTTTAACACGTTTTATTAATAATTGTTTAAAGAATGCAACTGCGCCTGAAAAGGTACGTGGAAACTTAAAATGTAAGCACAATGAAATATGTGGCAGTACAGTGTTTTTAACCCTTTTACACGCAAAGAGACCACAATCCGCTTGGAGGGGCTGTTGCTCTTAAATATTCGAAATAATTGAGGGGAGGTGTCTTGCTGTATCGGTTGTCTATTATTTACTCGGACAAGTATTTGCTGCAAAAATAGTTATGAATAACGCACGACGTTAAAAAACTTAATTATTATATAGTCACTGCTGAAAAAGTCTCCATGAACGTGATATTTGCAGTTGTTGAGAGCTGTATAAAGTAAGTAGACCAAAATCGTAAAGAATGCGTTATTTTAAACATGTAAAGTGACTCTGCTTGTAAATCAGATGTAGTTAAAACTACAGTACGTCTCATTTTTACGCACGCTGTAGTCGCTGTAGTTCTTAATGTGACCACTAGAGGGATCCATCACTCTATCATAGAGTCATATCATTTCTCTGCTCTGAAGAGCTCACTTCATTTATTCCAGTAACAATTGCATAAATGGGGCTGTGTCGCAATTAACCTATTTTTAAATACCATTTTATTAGGGCAGATTCTACCAGATAAAAAGGGAGTTTAAAATAGGCTAATTGCAACACAGTCATTAAAGTATCAAGCCAAACACCCCACTTGAAGTTACAGTATGGCTAATTATTTCCTTTGCTTAATGAAGTTTAATCAAATAAAGCACAACACAGATAAACAGAGAGAGAGAGAGCTCCATCCAGAAGCATAAAATGCATTGCATCATACCGTGTGTGTTTTTAGGTTAGGTTGTTTGTAGTTTGGTATCTTGCCTTGTAACAGCTGTATGCATGTATATAAATACCTTGTGTGTATTTGCACTTTTTCATTTTTGCCAGCAGTGGTTCTACAGTAGTGTTTAACTCAATTTTAAGGTACAGAGTACAGAATGTGCATTAATATTTGATATATCAAAAAAGCCCCTGTGAAATCTGACTCATGCAAAAATCTGTTGTAAATTCACACTAACAGTACTAATGTACAGTATTACATTTCAATAGGAAGGTAATTTATTTTATTTCAAAACAAAAGTCAGGCATTTGAAGGAGATTGCTGATGCACAGCCCTGCTGCTCTGGAATATCATTGTCTCTTTTCCTGCTGAACACTCGGGGAATGTGCACAGTCAGTTTTGCTTTGGTCCGCTGTGTACCACAGAGGAGAGCTCAATGGAAGGGACACTGTGCTGTGCAGCGGGGGGTCTTTTCGTCCTTCCACGTGTTATTATATACAGTCCTGAGCCGAACAGATAAATATCTTCACTGCATTGAGTTAAACACCCTTTTAAGCTTGAATCACAGCAATCCGATTACTCTGACTCACACTTCCCCGTGTCTTAAAATTCCCAGCCTGGAATGCGCTATTCTCCATTTGTTCTTTATGATGCTAATGGACTTCTGTCTAATAAATCCCTGTAGATTTGAAGTGCGTGAATGTTATGCCTTGCGCTTGTGCTCACACTTACAGACACACTGCCTTGCCACCGTCCTCTCTGTCTACAGTACCAAGAATAGCCTGCCTTGCTTATATTTGAGGGCGGTTTCGTTTGTAAGTCCTAGAGAGGAAAGAAAAAAAACTATATACACATAAATTAAGGAGCGGGAGAGGTTATGTTACACAGAGGGTCTCTTGATTCGTGTGCCAAAAAGGTACCGGTATGTCTGCCCAAACCATATCCAGCAGTTCATAAATTTCCTCATTTCTAAGGCTTTGGGGTCAGTGTTGGCGTTAGCAAAACCTCCAAGAGCCAGAGGACTCTGTGACAGCATGAGGAGACGAAAAAAAAAAAGGAAAATAATCAGGCTGATCGTTTTACTGACCGAACAAACAAACAACAGTGGCTCCATTCACGGCGGAGAATGTGCACTGTATTAGATTATGCCGAATTAACATATCTCGACGCATTCCACAGATTGCTGGGGCTAGATTCCCTGGCCAGGTCTGGCTTGTGTTCGGAATAATGCCTCTGTATCTCTCTCTCTCCCTCTCTCTGCCGAGCTGTTCTCGCAGGCTCTCTGCTGCTGCCCGAGCAATCCCGCACCTTTGTCCTCAGTGCTTGTGAGCCTGTGTGCTTGCCTTCCCAACAAACACCAAACCAACGGCAAGCAGCCGAGGGGTCATTCGTGTCCTGGACTGCAGCTGCTTGTCCGTCGCCCTGTGTCCTTCCGCACACAGAGAGAACAATCCTGTCCGGTGTGAATCCCCCTTTTATTACATCAGGCGGAGATTCTCTCCTGCTCTGTTTTTCTGCTTTAGTTCATCAGAATTTTAGAGTTCTTGTATCTTGACTAACTCACATGCTGTAGAAGAGCCACTTACCCTTCTTTTAGAGCTGTGGTACACAGTTCCATTTCAGCACTGTCTGCAGTTTTTCCTTCCACATCGGCTTATAGGCAGAGCTGTTCATTTGCTGAAATGGACCAGTCTAATGCTGTTCTATGGTCTTCAGCTCTTGATGATTTTAAGAGAGCTAGAAGGTCTGGTGGATTTGAAAAAAGCGGGCACTTGTGCCGCACAGTGGCTCTGGGGCCCTGGGTTCAGTTCCTGGGGCTCTGTCTGCGTGGAGTTTGTATGTTCTCCCCATGCTGTGATGGAGTCACCCTGAGTTGGGGTAGGTTTCCTCTCACAGTCCATAGACATACTGAGTGTGTTTGTGTCTGTGTGTGCCCTGTGATGGACTGGTGTGTCGTACTTGTTGTGCCAGGCTTCGACTCCCCTGTGACCCCGAATTGGAAGAAGCGGTTAGAAAATGGATGGATGCACTTGTTTTACGAGCCCAACACACAACCAGCCAGCTTTTTAACTCGCCCATAGTATGCTGTGGGCTGATTGAAGACACTGGCTTGAGTGTCCTGCAGCCATCCAGTCATACATACCCAGGTCAGCTGTCTGAAGAATTTTCACTTTTAAAACTACAATTCTTTGTTAGTTTTCCTTCTAGAAAACTCTGTGGACGAGAACTAGAGCGATTTGTGTTTGCGATCCTTGCTCTTCTTTATTTTTATTAGGAAGAGGTGACGTCGGAGCAGCAGTAGTAGTTGTGACAGGTGCAATAGTAACACCAGCTCTACTGGCGGTAAGGCAACAGCAGGTACGCCAGGCTCAGAGCTGCACTCTTACTCAGTGACAAATAATGCTGGAAAGATTCTAGCAGGATCTGGGCAATTTGAGAAAGTGTGTGGGAATAGAAAGCTCGACTTTAAGAAAGGTTCTGATTGAACTGTGACCTCCACGGCATTAGACAGCTATTCACTTTTCCTTTTTCCCCTCATGCTTTGTTAGACTTAGGAGGCTTGCCTTTACATATTTAATACTTAAACCTGACTTTCTGAACCCACAGCCTTGCAGAGGATCCAGAATTGGCAGGGCTAGAGCACCGTATTACAACATGAATAATTTTTTCACATTAACACTGTGAGAGATGGATAGCCTTTTCATGTCTAGAGAATAGAAGGGGGAAATGACATTGTTCAATCTCAGGATGCACTTGGCTCTTTATCAAGCAGAGATCAAAATTTATTCCCAGGATGCGGCCTGCGACCTGTCTGAGACTCGGGAGGTTTTTTATAAGCCTAATTAAGTAACGGGGATGAAAATTGTGAAATAAGAGGCCAATTTACAACTCACAAAATGGGGAGATCAAATCAACTCATGAGCAATTAATGGGGAGAGTGAGAGAATAAAAGAGACTGTGGATATATAGAGGGCTTCGTTTAATGCTGTACTTCAGTGCCATAAAGGATTAACTTGAAGGTCATGTTTAACTGAAGATGACCTTGAAGTTTATAACCGTTCTGTGTAATTAATATAGCAACCTGACTCAAGCAAGTTTTGCAGTGTGTTGGAAAGTAAAAGACCCTTTGAGAGAAGCAGAAAGTTACACCACTCTTCACCTGCAGTAAGTTGTGTCGTTTAGTCTTTTGTACATTCAAGATGAGA